CAGCCCCGCACCCCTTCTCCCCATCTTAGATGTGCCCCTTCCATTACCCGCTCCGCAGGGCTGTGACGATGCAGTCAGAGCAGAAGCGGTGGAGGCACTCCTTGGTAGTCATCGTGTTCTTCAGCATGTCCAGGCAGATGGGGCACATGAGCTCCGAATGCAGCGATCGAGGGGAAACTGCGATCTCTGTACCATCCATGATGGCTTCCTGGAGCATCAGGGAGGAGAGAGGTGGTGGAGGGTTGGGGTAAAGAGGTCTTAAAAACTGACTCACTGGGGAGGAGTTCTGAGAAATAGAGCAGTGAAATGGCAGAATCTGGGTACCCACACTGGCCACTTGAGGAAGAAGGGACTGTTGAGTTTGAGGGGCCACTGACTTGGAGTGGATGTGCACAAAAAGTTGGTGCCGCTAAAAGGAGCTTTGAAACAGGAGCTGAGGTTTGATGAGAGGCTTAGGGTGAGGTGTGGGGCACACACATGTGGTTTGGAGAAGATGGAATTCTTTAATAAGTAGATCCGAATGCACTATTGCACTATTGCAAAGGCAGATTCTGAGGCCCCACGCACTACTGACTCAACAGTGCACACGCGCGTTTGCATGTATAGGATTGGGATGTTACGAAGTTCCACGCCGTCTTGTATGCACTCAACTGAGAGGCTGAGAAGGTGATCTGGGCACCTGCTTACTAGTTTTCAAAGAAACATAGCAACATATTGAATGCCTCTGTGGCAGGGCTGTTTTGAAGATCAGATAAGATACACATAAAAGTGCTTCAAAAAAAAATTAAAGTGACTCCAAAGCAGGGCCCGGGAGTCCACGGAGTTGGGCAGGGTTGGCGGAGCAGGCAAAGAACGGACAAGAAGCCCTCCGATGGGGTCTGCGGGCTGGCGTCGGGGGCATGGAGGAAGCCGGGGCTGGAGGCTCCTCGTCACCTGCGGGGTCCGGTGCAGCTCATACAGACTGAGTTCCCACGTTTTGCTGGCATTTTGGGCATTCGCCGGCGTCGTCATGGTGACCGGGCGCAGACCCCCCACCGGGGCTCGGGTGAGGCGCAGAGAGGCTGGGAGGGGGAAGGGGCGCGGGAGGCGGTGTTAGGGGGGCCGCCCCTCGCGCAGTCCCCGCCCGCCCACCGCCCCTCCGCTCCCCGCCGCCCCTCACCCCGCTCCGGCGTCCGCGTTCCGCCGCCGCCGCGCTCCGCTCAGGCCGGGCCCGGGCCGAGTCCGCGCGCCCCGCCGCCGCCGCCGCCGCCGCTCAGATAGCAGCTCGCGCCGTCGCCGCCGCCGCCGCCGCCGCCATGGCCCGGGCGCTCGGGCCTACGTCACTTCCGCCCGGCTGCTCTCCTCCCCCGCGGCCCGGACGTCACCGCCACTCGCGGCGGGCGCGGGTGGGACGCGGCGTGGACGCGGGGTTTCCTCGCCTAGGGGGACGCCCGCTGCCGCCCCGGAGCCCCGCCACGTGGGGACCGCGCCCCGCCCCGCAGCGTCGCGCGCCCAGCGCCCCCTCCCCCGGCCTCGCTGCGGAGGGCGGGGCCTGGTCGTCCGGACCCGCGAGGGGACCGCGTCCCGGGAGAGGGCCCCCACCCCCCTCCGCCCGCAGCTCCGCAGCCCCGCGTGGGATCCCGGGGCGCCCGGCCCTGCAGCCCTGCGGAGGCTGCCCTGTCCCGAGGCCCGGGTCCCCTTCGTCCCCGGGCCTCGCGCTGCCCCTCTGCACCCTCCGACCCGCTCTCCCCTCGAGGTCTGGGGGCTGCGGCTCGGGACGTCCAGACTCAACTCTCGGCCGGAGCCAGAGACTCGAGAATTGCGTTTGGACAATCAGGAGCCGCGGCCCGGGCGGGGAGGGGGCCACGCGGAAGCGGGACACACGCGCGACGGGGCACGGGGGCGAGCTGTGCAGTGCGAGTGGGCAGAGGCCTCCTCAGGACCCGAGGAGAGGAAGGAGGCCCGGAGGGGAGAGGAGGAAGGAGCAGAGCCGTCCCCGCTGAGGGCAGGGGATGAGAGGGACACCGGGGGAGAGCCAAAGCCACCGTGCCCCGCCGGTCTGAGATGGGGCTCTAGGACGTGGGCTGAGGATGCCAGAGGGTGGCCTGTCTCTAGGAAAAGGCAGCAGCGGATCCCCTCGACCCCCACCCCAGTTCCCCCCTACTTCCCTGTCCTCTCCTTCTGTCCGTGGCCAGTCCTTATGTGGGCGCCAGAGTCGATTAGCGCGGACCCCCTCCCCTTCCTCCTCCTCCTCCCAGCCCCCTCCCTTCTGCTCTCCTCCAGCCCCTTTCATCGGCTGGCCCATTCCCCTAATCCTGGCCCCCTCCCCTAATCCCCCCCATCGACCCCAGGCCGGCTGCAGCTATTGTAAGGTGGAGAGAGATGGGAGGGGGGATGGAGAGAACGGAGAGCGGTGGGGGAGGGCCACCTGTTCCAAGACCCCCTTCCAAGGCCAGACTGGACACCAGGATGGAGCCAAGAAAAATCACCCTTGGGGACCATAAGGACCCAGGCAGTTGGGGGAATGGGACTGGCCCTCAGAACCAGGGAAAGGGGGTGGGGCAGCAACCCCTCCCTGCAAAAAGACCCAGAGTGTCACGCATACACAGTGACATAGACTCTTTCCTCTCACACCCGGCGGCGGGGGTTGCCCTGGGAGACCAGGCAGTGAAAAGGAACAATCCTTAGGGAAAGGGAAAGAGGGGGAGGTGGGGAAGGGTCTGAGGGTTTGGACACAAGAAGAACCGGAGGTGGCAGGGAAGAGGATTTGGAATTTATTAGGGTCACAAGCACCCCTGCTTCCCATATTCAGCATTCCTGAGCCATACACTGCCACCCCTTTTGTAGCCTGGGAACTTAGAGTCCTCATCAGCAGGAGGCCAGGCGAGTGTTGGGGGAGTGAGCAGAGTCCAGGGTCCTTGAGGCTATTACATGAAAAGACCTCCTGGGAGGGGCAGAAACATTGGGACAGATGCATGGGTGGGGAGAGAAACAGGCCTGGGGTGCCCACTTCTGTCCCTGGCCTTGGGACCCTCTGCCCTTCCCAGGAGCTCAAGCTCCTGTCGCCTTCCCATCTGGTCTGGGTATCACTTCCCCACCTTCTGCCTCCCCTCAAGGTCCTCATACCGGTGACTTCCACTGAGGCCCCTGTGATGTATCCGCTGTCTTCGGATGCTAAGAATGCAACCACCTCTGCCACATCTACAGAAATGAGGGGCAGAGTCCCACTCATTCCTGGGTTCCTGAGCAGCCTCCCTTCAGTCCCCAGGCTTTGTGCAACCCTCAGAGATACCACAACACTTGGCATCTCCTCTCTGGGGACTGCCAGCCCACTGGGTGCTCACCCTCTGGGGTCCCCATGTGTCCCATCGGGATCATTCCGGTCACCTGTAAGGAAACACTCATGTGGGTAAAAGTTTTTTCTTTTAAATCCAGTTTCTTTGAAGACTTCGTTTCCCCTTTTGTCTATCACTCAGACATTTATCAAGTGCTTACAATTTATCAGGCACTCTGCCCAGCACTCTCTCTCCAGCCCACAGAGGTTGGGACTCTAACCCATTCTGCCTCCACCCACAGCCTCCTACCTTGTCTTTTACTTTCTGTGGCATTTTCTGAGTCATGGGTGTTACAATGAACCCTGGGAGGACAGAGTTACAGCGGATCCCATGTCTGTGGAAGGGAGAGTGGCTGCTGATCCTGGGGAGGACACCGACCTCTTTGGCAGTCCCCTATGTGCCTCTGCAGAGTCCCCATGAGTCTGACCCACCGTCCAAGCTCCCGGGCTGCAGTCTGGGTTAGCCCGATCACTCCAGCTTTGGATGCTGCATAGTTTGTCTGCCCCACGTTCCCCACCTGCAGGTGTGCAGGAGACTAGGATGAGTCAAGCCTCCGGCAGGGGCCCCGATGTCTGTGCCCACTGGGCTGGCCGACCTTGCCCCTACTTGACCGGACCTTCCCAACGATGCTACTGATATTGATGATGGAGCCATGGCTGCCACTGGACACCAGGGCCTGGACTGCAGCCTGCATGACTAGGAAGATACCCTGGCCGGAAAGGGTGACAGAAGGATCAGCCCAGGTAACTCCTGCAACTCCCACCTCGGGCTACGGGCGGGGCAGAAGTTACAGGCTCAGAGGTCACCACCTTAAGGTTGACAGCTATGACTCTGTCCCAGTCATCCTCGGACATTTGGAGCAAGAACTCATCCTGGGTGATGCCCGCACAGGACACGACGACAGATGGCGGGCGAGAGAAGCAGGCCTGCGGGAGGGGGAGGTTACCCACGAAAACACCACAAAGAGCCAGGGCAGGAGGGCAGCTTCAGAGCTTTATGGGGCGCAGTGGCCAGCGTTCACCTGCACTTGCTGCAACAGGCTCCTGGCAGCCCTGGCCTCAGACACATCGACCTGGAAGGCGGCGTGGTTCCTGCGGAGCACCCCCTCCTCGCTTCCCGGCCCGCCCAGCAGCTGCACCGTCTTGCGTGCCGCCGCCTCGTCCAGGTCACAGGCGGCCACAGTGGCCCCCTCCCCGGCCAGGCGCGCACAGACCGCACGGCCGATGCCACTGCCCGCACCTGGGTGGGAAAGATGCGCAGGGTGGAGGGGTCTGGGTCAGAGGTCATGGGGTGCGAGATTAGTAAGATTCGGACAAGGGGGTCAGAGGCCATGGGATCCGCAGGGTCTGGGGGCGTGTCCTCTGACCTCACTCTGGCACCCAACCCACCCTGGGAGACGACCCCACAACCTGTGACCAGGGCCAGCGCGGAGCGGAGCCGGAGCTGAGTCGCCATGGCTGGCTGCGGGTGGGCGGGCACTTCTCGCTCCACGCCAATCCGAGCGCTCGGAGGGCGTGGCGAGGGCAGAGCCGCGGCCAATGGAAACCACCAACCCTGGGCCATCTGTGGCCACCAGCGCTGGCTGACCTCCCACCGTGGAGGAGTGGCCAGACGCCAGTGATTGGGGACTCAGGCAGTGGGGGAGAAGGGCCCCTTTGCCCCCCGCAAATAGACAAAGACTACATATGGGGCGGAAGAGCCAAGAACTTTATTTCCGGTCACCACCCCTCCCCCTCAATTTAAACAATGATGTAAAACAACAAATAGAAACAAATCAGGCCAACTAACCCTCTCCTGCCCCCCCCCACACCAAATCACCCCCAAATCAGGACGCACGATTGATGTGTACTCCACATTGTTAGCCCCTCTGTCCAGTGCTCTGATCTTCCCTGAAGACCGGGCAGTGGAGAGGGAAGTGGACCTGTGTGGAAGCTTGGTCCTCTGAAAGCAAGTGGGGCTGGGGCCACCATGCTGTCATCACCTCTGTCCCTTTCAGGCTGCTTTATGCCCTCCTTTATCCCCCCAACTTAACATTATGGTCAGGCAGTGCCCAACGCTGGTCCCTCCTGCCTCTCCTTCTCCCCTCTGCAGTGCCTCTAACGCCCAAGTAGCCTCTCTCCTAGGTTTCAATTCCTTACTTAGGTGGATGTTCCTGCCCAAGGCCTCTGGCGCCCCCCAGGCCCCTGCCCTGGAGTTAGAGTAAGCAGTCTGGAGCAGGGGTGGGGACCCTCTCTCCCACTACTCACTCCAGGTGGGCAATCAGCACCATCATGACAACTCCCCCCAGCAGCCCCAGCACCTCCAGAAGTGACTGTAAAGGTGACGCTTCCCTCAACAGCTCAGGCAACACGGATACCGTTGCCACGTAGATAAAACCACCAGCAGTGAATGGCAGAACCCAGCCGGGACCAGCACCACCTGCAACTGTGCTGCCCACTGTGCCTCCTTCGGTGAGAAGGGCACAAGCTGTGCCCGCCAGCGCCCCTACTGCAGTCAGTAGCTGTAGACGCATCGCCTGATGGCAGGAAACAGAGAGAGGCACTTAGTAACAGCTGAGGATGAGCAGAGGTTTGGATGTGGCTGCACAGGTATGGAGTACATGGGTCTGCAAACTAAAAAGCTAGATAAAAATGGGAGGGGGTTTCTACAACATGCATTTCCTGAAAAACCTTAAGAAATCAAAAGGTTCCACAGAATCTTCTGATTGAGCAGGATGTATATGTTTGTGTGTAAGACTTTAGTCACAGGCCGGGGATTTAGCTCAGTGGTGTAATGGCCTGCCTGGCAAGCGCAAAGTCATGAGTTCGATCCCCAGTACCCAAAACAAAAACAAACAAAATAAAAGATTTTACTCATAAACCATTCAAATGGTTTACAGACCACACTTGAAGAAAAAAATGAGCTAGGCTGGGCATGGTGGCTTGGAATTCCAACACTCTGAGAAGCTGAACCAGGAGGCTCTCAAGTTCAAGGCCAATATGGGCAATTCAGCACAATCCTGTCTTAAGTTAAAAAGCAAAAAGGGCTGCGAATGTAGCTGAGTGCAAAGGCCCTGGGTTTAATCCCCAATACTGCAAAAAACAAACAAAAAACTGAGCTATAGGACATAGAAATGTCTTCCCTCTCACTTCTACATTTGTTGTCAGTAACAGCATAATTTGTTTGCAACTTAGGACAGGCAGTCTTGGGCTTGGGTGAGTAAGCAGCAACATGTATTTAAGGCAACTGTTTGATGAACGTCTCACTAACCTGCTTTTTGCTGCAGCCAGACTGGACCAAGATGGCAAAGTCCCCGACCTCATGGGGCACTTCATGTAGAAGGACAGTCATGGTAGTCAGGATGCCTAGCCCTCGGCCACCACGGAAAGATGCACCAATGGCCAGACCGTCGGTGAAGTTGTGTGCGAAGTCAGCAGCCAGGTTCAGGTACCCAGACACACGCAGGTCTTATACAGGAGAAGAAGAGAAAATGACTAGAGGCTTGGTCACTACCAGTCCCAGTCCTGGTCAGCCACTGTCACATTTCCCCTCATACAGTCCTTTGGGTTTCCCTGACAGCTGCCACCACAGCACATGTTCTGAGCACCTGATTTGTCATGACCGCCCCAGCCTAACCTTATCTGGTTTGTACCTGAACCTGTTTTTTCTCCTTCGGGGTTCTGAGGCTTCACTGGACCATCTTTGGGTCTGGTGCTCCCTCCTCTCCTCTTCCTCAACCCTCCTGCTTCCTTTTCTTCTTCCTCAGAGCTGGGCTTCTCCTTTGAAGGTTGCTCTAAAAGAAGAAAGGAATTGGTCAAAACAGAGAACAAAAATGTTCCAACATATCCTCAAAGAGTGGGCAGCTCAGGGGCTGGGGATTCAGCTCAGTGGCATAAGCACCTGCCTTGCAAGCAGGCAGTCGTGAGTTCGATCCCCGGTACCGATAAAAAGGAAAAAGACAAAAAAAAAAAAAAAAAAGAGTGGGCAGCTCTACTTGACAGGCACAACATGAGGGGACTCAAAATGGGGCAAGGTGGCTGTCAGTACACCTGCTCCTGGGCTCACCCTGCTTTTCATGTCCATGACTTCCATGAGTATGACCATGTCCCCGTCCATGACTGTGTCCATGTCCTCCTTTCACATGTCTCACAAATTTCTCCACCACCAGGAAGGCAACAATTCCACTGAGAACCCACAGCCCCACAAACAAAATGGGGCCCTGGCCTGGGAACAGAGGCATTGAGACATTACGGGACATGGAAACCCCAGACTCCTCCTCAAGTGCAGAAGGTGAAGCGTAGGGAAAGACGTTCCCCAGCACCCTGACTCTGGAAGCTGTTTCTTTCTCACCACTGTGCGAGTGTCCATGTCCAGGCTGCTCCAGAGTGTGATGAGAATGAGGTTCTGCAGGAAGGAGGGAAAAAGCCCGATGAGGACAAGTGACTACTGAGAGAACAGAAGTTCCATTTTTCTACTACTTCAACATCTTTATCAATACGACAGTAGCCCAATCGCTGTGAAATCACACAGTGTAGAGTATCTTACCCCAGAGATGTGGGGGTCTCGGAGGAGAAAGAATAAAACAATCACAACTTTGAAGCACAGTCCAGAGGTTACTTACCTAGGGCATGAGGAATAAGGTGCAGGAAAGCATCTCCCAGGAGCCCCCCAGAAGCAAAACTGAGCAAGATCTGGAGCAGAGAGCGATGTCGGGGTGAGTTGGACTCTACTGGGATGAGGAAGAGGACAAAAAACGGAGCCGCAGAGATCAGTACTGTGGCCCCCAGTGCCTGGTGAAGGAAAGTAAGAGGTCACTGCTGTGGAGTTTCTCAAGAACACAGAACTAGCCCCTCTTCCCATCCCCTGGGGACTCACATAGGCCCAGAGAGTGACAGTGTCCAGGTCATGCTTGATGCCTGGGGACTCAGGCTCCCCAAATCCTCCATGGCTATGTTTGTGGTCAGGTCCATGTTCGCTGTGGCTCTCGTGGGAGTGGCCATGGCCGTGACCATGGTGCAGGCCCTCATGTGAATGTCCATGGTCGTGGCCGTGGGTGTGCCCGTGCCAGATGCTCTCATGAGTGTGGCCATGGCCATGGGCATGGCTGTGTCCATGGTGGAAATCCTCATGTGAGTGCCTGTGGCTGTGTTCATGGCCATGGAAATCCTCTTGCACGTCCTTATGCGAGTCATCATGAGCCCCGTGTCCGGCCACCAGCAGCACCAAGGCTTCCCAGGTCAGCAGTCCCACTGCCACCCAGTGTGGGGCCCGCAGGCCGCTGGCCATCACGCTGACCAGAGGGACAGAGACAATGATTCCATTTGACTTTCAATTCCGCTTTAATCCACTTGTGCCCTCCGTCCATATCTATGGGCTGCTCCCCTATTCCATTCCATCCCCACCCACATTGTTTCCAAGACCTGTTTTATCTCGAATTCCTTCCCGGATGCAGCCCCCACAAACCGCTCTAGCCTTTAATCGCCCACTTTATGGACTCTCTGGGCCCTCGTCTCTATGACCTATTAGGTGGGGAAAAGGCTTGGAAAAGACAGTAAGAAAACCAGGGAATTCTCACCGGCTCCGGGGTCCTCTCCTTTCCCGGTTTGCACGGACGTGGCAGGCACGCCTCTAGTTCGCGCGAGAACAGGAAGTTCCGATCTACCTCCGCCCCAATACTGTACCTTTACCAATATGGCGGCCACCTTGTAGCGGTGAAGCCACACAGTAGCAGTGCGCGTGCGCGAGCGTGAGGTTATTTGAGGGGAGGGTGGGCGAGGCCTGCTAACATGCCGTAGGAGACCGTCTGCTGGGTTTCCAACTGGGCGAGGGGGCGGGAACTAGCGACGAGACTTCCCGTCTGTACAAAGATGGCCGCCACAGTGGCGCTGTCATTTTGGTACCGAGCTCAGCGAAGCGCTTAATTCGACCTGACCCAGGCCAGAGTCTTTTCCTCTAGGCCTTCCTCGTGCTCTGCTAGTTCCCTGGCCAGTCCCTGCGAATCCCTGGCACCTCTGCGGTGTCCCTCCACTCAGCCAAGAATCATGTCTTGGGCCGCCCGCCCGCCTTTCCTTCCCCAGCGGCATGCCGCAGGGCAGTGTGGGCCGGTGGGGGTGCGAAAAGAAATGCATTGTGGGGTCGCGTCCCGGTGGCGGCGGCGACGGCTCTGGCTGGATCCCGCGGCGGCAGCGGCGGCGGCGGGAGCCGGAGAACAACAAACCCCGGAGCCGGAGCCGGGGGAGGCTGGACGGGACGGGATGGGCGACAGCGGGCGGGGTGAGTGTCCTAGCAGACGAGCAGGCGAGCTGTTGACCTCGCTGTCTGCACCCCTCCCCCCACCCTGCCCGGCGCTGCCCCCGGCGCTCCCGCCCCCTTGTTTGTAAACACGCGTCGTTCCCTCCCGAGGGCCTCAGCGCTTCCCCCCCCCCCAGGGCGGGGCGGGCAGGGGGAGCTTCCGCCTTCCCCGCTGGCCGGAGCCACTGGAGGCCCCGCGCCCTAAGTCCCGGGCGTGGGAAGGACACGATTCTCCTTGAGCTTGAGGACTCTGCACTTTGGAAGGCAGCTCCTGCTGCCTCTGAGGGTCTCTTCCGCCTCGCTCTCCTGCATGCTCTGGCGCCCGGGCTCCACACTGGTAATGGAGGGGTTGGTTGGAGAACTCCACGTGCTGCCCCACCCACGAGAAAGGTCGGAGCGAAGTGACCTGGTATTCATTCAGATGCGTCGCTCGGAATGTTTGCGTACAGAACTGACTTCTTTAGTCAACCCCTTTTCTCACCGCAGGAGTTAAACTAGTCGACCACTGGGAATGTTTCTGGATTTGGGCATTGTTGGCTTGGGGTGGAATGGGGCAAGGTGGGTGGGTGGGGGGTTGGAGAATTAAAGTCTCCAGATGGACGATTGGAGACTCATATTGTCTTTTTTCTCTCTCCTGTCCTTGTGTGTCTCTCTGTGCCTGTGTATACCCCTCCCGAAGATTCCCGAAGCCCGGACAGCTCCTCTCCAAATTCCCTTCCCCAGGGGGTTCCTCCCCCTTCTCCTCCAGGACCGCCCCTACCCCATTCAGCCTCTTCGCTGGGAGGCTCTGGGGCCCCACCCCCACCCCCAATGCCACCCCCTCCGCTGGGCTCCCCCTTCCCAGTCATTAGTTCTTCCATGGGGTCCCCTGGTCTGCCCCCTCCAGCTCCCCCAGGATTCTCCGGGCCTGTCAGCAGCCCCCAGGTGAGAGGTCATGACCCACTAACTGCCTCCCCACTTTCACTTCCTTGTAATCCCAGATGCTTTTGTGAACTTCCTCATAGCCCACAGATCTTCCTGTCCTAGTAGAGGTGTGGACCTTCGAGACCCCTTACCCTTCCAGAGGAGGCTGATGTTTCAGTGCATGCTTCCTCCTTAACCCTCTTTAACTATTTAGCGCCCCTTTATGTTTTTGATACCACTTTCAGCTATCAGTGATTTTTTTGCCCGTTTGATCCCATCTGCCCTCCCAGACTCATGCCCTTCAGGGCTACCGTATTGTCCAATTTCAGAGGAGAACCCTTTATGTCTATTTGCTTTGCGGTTGTGCTCTGTCCCCATGGCCCTTCATGTAGAGACTGAAGTGTAACTGGCGCCCTCCGGAATGTGCAGTGCAGGGCCCCGCCTAGTGGTAGGAAATGATTCCCACGACCTCTGAGATCCTCCTTCCCAGTGTGTCTCCCTGTGACTTCCCTATTTCCCTCATCCCAGATTAACTCCACGGTGTCACTTCCTGGGGCTGGGGCTGGCACCCCTGAAGATGTGAAGCCGCCAGTCTTAGGGGTCCGGGGCCTGCACTGTCCACCCCCTCCAGGTGGCCCTGGAGCTGGCAAACGGCTATGTGCAATCTGCGGGGACCGAAGCTCAGGTATGGGGCACGGAGCGTGGGCACAGAGGAAGGAAATCTGGACCAGTTGTCTCCTGCGAGGTTGGGCTCCTGGGGTTGGGAGGCTGGGGAAGCTAAGGAGCCTGAGGCGCAGTGTGGGATGGAGGAGGAGTGGTCAGAGAGACAGGGGCTACTGTGATGCTTCTGATTCGCAGAGTGGGGTGGTCATCCCTCCCCTGCTTCCTCCTCTCTGAATTTGGCAAACACAGGGAGGACTTGGACTAAGTCTGGCTGGGGGACATTGGGAAGAGCCTTATGGTGAGGAGGTCTCCATGCAGCCTTCTTACTGCTGTCCCGTGTGCTTGCAGGCAAACACTACGGGGTCTACAGCTGCGAGGGCTGCAAGGGTTTTTTCAAGCGCACCATTCGCAAGGATTTGACCTACTCCTGCCGGGACAACAAAGACTGTACGGTGGACAAGCGCCAGCGTAACCGCTGTCAGTACTGCCGCTATCAGAAGTGCCTGGCCACTGGCATGAAGCGGGAGGGTAAGGACCTGCCTGCCACACCAGGCTTCCCAGGCCAGCGAGCCCCTCCTCACCTGCTGGGCAGGACTGAGCTACATAGTAGGCTCCTGTACCTGGCGGGGATGCAGGACTCTTGGCGCTGTCCTTCAGGGGGCGACATTTGTGCTTCCCCTTGGCACCCTGCTCTGGTTCTTCCCTCGAGTGTCTGTCCTAGTGGTTTTCCCGGGGCCTCGACCCGAGGCCCCTCCCAGCCCAGTCTAGGCCTGGGTAGGACCCCCTCTCAGCAAGGATGGCCTGTGTCTCCTCCAGGCTGAGCAGGCTGCTTCTCCCCTCCCACGCTCTTCTCTGGCCTCTGTCTTCTGGTTCTCTGTGGTCTTTCCTCTGACCCCTGGGCTCTGCATTCTTGAGCTGCAGACCTCACTGAAAACCTCGGGCTGCCTTTCCTCTTCAGTCTGTCCTAGAGTTTTGAGAGCAGCAGTTTAGAGAGTCTATTAATCCCTCCTGTGAAGGGAGGAGCCTGAAGCCTGACTTTCCAGAGCTCCCACACTGAAAGAGCAGCCAGGTCAGGTTCAGAGCCAGTGTCGTAGTTCCAGACCAGTGCTTGTTTCCCTACCGTGACACTTAGCGAGTCAGGAGAGCGCAGGAGTTGCTGTCATGGAGGCCTGGGTTCAAATGTGTGCCCTGTGGGGTGCTGTGTGAATTTAGGCAAAGCTGTTTAACCTCTTCGAGATCTGTGAGCCCTGAGATCTTCATCGTTAAAGGTGGGAACAAGGGCTCCCAGGCTGCTCCTGGTTTCAGCGAATGTCTGAGCATGCCTGGCGCATGCCTGGCACATCTTGTACCCTGGCTTCCTCCCTCAGCCCAGCCCTCTCCCTTCCTGACATATCTGCCCATTTACAATAACCTCTGCTTGCTGACTGCCCTGGTCTACCTTTATTGTGAGCCCCTAGTTGCTATATCTCCCAGGAGACATCAGACCCTGATAGGACCCAAGCATCTGTCCCAATCCCCTGGGGCTGGACGCTGACTTTCTGTTTTGTCTTCTCCCCCACCCCCACCCCCGCAGCGGTGCAGGAGGAGCGGCAGCGGGGGAAGGACAAGGACGGGGATGGGGAGGGGGCTGGGGGAGCCCCCGAGGAGATGCCCGTGGACAGGATCCTGGAGGCAGAGCTTGCTGTGGAGCAGAAGAGTGACCAGGGCGTTGAGGGTCCTGGGGGAACCGGGGGTAGCGGCACCAGCGTGAGTGATGGGCTTAACCTCTTCTCCTTGGTGACCGGGGTTGCGGGGAGGGAGTGGAGGTCTGTGCTGTCTCCTTACTGGCCTTTGCTTCACTGCCAGACAGAAGTGCTGCCAGTAAGGCCTCTCAGACTCCTGAGGTGGTTGTGGCTGCGCCCTGCATCCACATTCCTGCTGGCAGAACCCCGGGCACAACCCAATGTAATAATTGTTCATGTGGCTGCCAAGAGAGGCCTGGTTTACAGGGGTTGCTTTAGATGCGCTGACGGGTAGACTGCATCTAAGGTGGGGCATCAGATCTTACAGGGAGCGCTCCTGGTGCACTGCGACGTTCCGTAAACCTCACCCCACTTTCCCCTGCAGCCAAATGACCCTGTGACTAACATCTGTCAGGCAGCTGACAAACAGCTGTTCACCCTTGTTGAGTGGGCAAAGAGGATCCCCCACTTTTCTTCTTTGCCTCTGGATGACCAGGTCATATTGCTTCGGGCAGGTCAGTGACTTTGAAACCCTTTGACCTCTTGACATTTGACCCCTCTGGTCTTTTGGTCTCTGGTAACCCCAGTGGCTTTACCTTAGATATCCAGGGAGCCAAGCTTGCTGACCTAGCCTCCTCTTTTCTTCTCTTCCCCTGCCATGCCTTGACCCCCTACCACCCGATGTCTGGCTCCTGATCCTTGCTGTCCTATCTAGGCTGGAATGAGCTCCTTATCGCCTCCTTTTCTCACCGGTCCATCGATGTCCGGGATGGCATCCTCCTTGCCACGGGTCTCCATGTGCACCGAAATTCAGCCCATTCTGCAGGCGTGGGCGCCATCTTTGATCGGTCAGTGGCCCTAGCTGGGCCTGGCCTCTCACTCAAGGGGATGGGGCTATAGGCTGGTCCAAGTCCAAGGCTGGCTGAGCTGTGACCTTTGAGTGACCTGCAGGTCCCTCTCCAGGGTGCTGACAGAGCTAGTGTCTAAAATGCGTGACATGAGGATGGACAAGACAGAGCTTGGCTGCCTGCGGGCAATCATTCTGTTTAACCCAGGTAAGAGGACGAAGACCAAGGCAACCCCGGGGCCTCCTTTGCTCTGCAGGCTCCCGAGTTACCTGGCTGTTCCCCTAAGACCCTCGGCCCAGAGTCTGCCAGCTGACTGAAGAGAAAGCTGCTTCCACTTGATCCATCCCTTTTCAGACCCCATCCCACAAATCCCTGGCCCCCGCTTCCTTTGCCGGGCATCAGGCATTGGGCAGAGAGTCCTGCAGGGGCATCCTGTGAGTCACATCTGTGTCTGTCCCGCCTTCCCTGCCGTGCCAGATGCCAAGGGCCTGTCCAACCCCAGCGAGGTGGAGGTCCTGCGGGAGAAAGTGTACGCGTCCCTGGAGACCTACTGCAAGCAGAAGTACCCTGAGCAGCAGGGGCGGTGAGCAGGCTCTGAGGGCCTGGGGAGTGTGGGGGACATGGTCCGGGCGTATGTCCCGTCTTCACTCGCTTTCTCCCTCCACCTCAGGTTTGCCAAGCTGCTGCTGCGTCTTCCGGCCCTCCGGTCTATCGGCCTTAAATGTCTAGAGCATCTGTTTTTCTTCAAGCTCATTGGTGACACCCCCATTGACACCTTCCTCATGGAGATGCTCGAGGCTCCCCACCAGCTGGCCTGAGTCCACACCTCAGGACCGAGGGGCGCCCTCCAGGAGGACTCAAAGCCTGGGGCAGGGTGGGGGGCTGTGTTTGCAGCCCAGACCTCAGGCAAGGAGCACGGCACAGACAGGGACCCCTAGGGTGAGCCTCAGCCCTGCAGAGCACTGCTTGGTGTCCCCGAGTTGGGACTGCAGATCCCTGTGAGGCCCGGACGGCTCCCTTTGGTGGCCTTGGTTTCTGAGTTGCTGGGGTCTCCCGAGGTTTGGGGTGATTTCTCACCCATCATGCCTCCAGCATAGCACCGGCCCTGGTCCGAGGACCCCGCTCCCTTTTCACTCGGCCTCACTCCCACTCAAGTGGAGGTGGGGGATTCTCCCAGAGATGGGTGTTGGGGGGCAGGCCCTCCAAACTGATGGAAGTGGAAGCAGGGCCCCAGAGGAGAGGCCACCTTCCTCCTAGCCTGGGCAGGTGGGGGTCACTGGAGGAGGGCAGGGCCCTGTCACCCTGTCCTGTCTGGGCTCAGGTTTTACACCTCACCTGCAGGCCCACTGAAAAGGGGGTGCTGGTGGTGCGCGCTGGTGCTGCTGCAGGAACCCGTCTATTTTTAATTGAGGATAGACTTGCAGTCAGACTCAAAGAAGTACTGTACTTCCCGGGGTGGCTGAGAGACTCCCGTGGTGGCCTGGGTATTTGGGAAGGGTGGGCCAAGGTGCGTCCCTGGGGCTCGCCTGGCACTGGCTTCCCTTGAGCTCCTGTCCAGGCTGGGAAGATCCAGCCACAGGGCAGGGTTGGCCAGGCAGTTGGGCGGGGGCGGCAGGGTCCTGCCCCTTAGCTTTGCGCCAGCCCAGTCTCACAGCTGCAGAGGACCTGGTCTGCAGGGCCTGGGGCTGCATGAGTTCTGCCCTGCGTCTCTTGGGGTCCTTTCTCCTCCCTCACACATAAAATCGCTTTCAAATTAAAATGGCGCTTTTCTGGACTCTGGTGACCTGCGGGGTGGGCGGGATGGCACCAGCTGGGGGGGTGGGATCCAGCCTTGCACTCCGCGGACTCCTTGGGTGCTGCCGCTGAGGTTCCTTGGGGGCCAGGAGGCGGCTGCAGGGTGGGGGACACAAGGCGCGCTTTGTCGGGGAGGGGGAGCGGGTGTGCCAGGTGGGGCGGGGCCGGCGCTGCTCAAAGGCGCCTTGTTCCCGTGCCCTGCCAGCGCCAGCGGGCGGCGGCGCCTCGCTCGCTCCGGCCGCCTCTGGGCTGCGCCGTGGGCTCTGGGCGGACCCGGCGCCGTGCCCGTCCAAGGGGGCGCACTGGGTGTGGTGGCTTCTGAGGCGCGGCCCACGTCCCTGGGTAACCCCTGACTCTGGCCCCTTCCCACCGCATCTAGGGCTCCTCGCCACACTGCTGGGTCCGCTCACCTGGGCTCTGGGATCCTGTCAGCCTGCCCACACTGGGCGCCCGCCGCCCTCCGTTTTCCCGCCCCCTTCGTCCCTGCACCCCGCTCTGCCCCCTGTGTCCCCCCAGTCCCTGCCATTGGACGCTATCTTTAACCTCAGCTATAAATACCCCACCATTGGGCCTGTAATTACAGGGCGCGCCGCCGAGGTAATTACGGAGACCTGATCGCAAGTGGGCGTGGGGTGGGGACCCCCAACACCACCTCTCCCCGCCCTCTGACCCCTAAGTCCCGCCCGAGATTCTGCGGAAAGGGGGCTTTGGGCCCCCAAGGAGGGAGGAACTTGGGGGTGACTAGACATTTGGGTGCTAAAATAGGAAGGGGCCAGTGATGACATAGATCGTGGGGTTCGGGCTACTGAGTCCCAGCCAGGGGCCGGGTGCGCAGTCGGGGGATCAGCGGGAGGGAGGAGGGGTCCCCCTCCAGGTGGAGACCGAGGGTGGGGTTTCCCTGGCGGCAGTGGGCGGCGGCTGGGGGCGGAGGCTGGCCTGGGGGCGGGGGCGGCTGGGGGCTCTGGGCCGCTAGGGTGGCCGGGGACGCACAGGAGCCACGGCCGCGGAGCAGCGCGCAGCGCAGAGCCCCGACGGCACCCATCTCGCTGCGTGGAACTGGGTCGCTGAGGGCAGCGGGCACGGGACAGCGGCCGACACCTCCCAGATCGCGGGTGCCGAGCCTGCTTGCTGTCTCTTGTCAGCCTACGGGGACCCCGGGTCCCTGGGGCCTGGTGTCCTGGTCGCCCAGTCATGGAGCGGGGCAACCGCTGCCATCGCCTGCTCCTGCTCCTACCTCTGGTGCTGGGGCTGAGTGCTGCCCGGGGCTGGGCAGGTAAGAGGAGCCCGGACGCCGGGTTGTCGATTGTCGGGGGCAACTGCAGCTCTGAGCGTCTGGGAGGGGACCGCTGACGCCGGGGGCAGGAGTTTCTCTGTAGGGGACGGCGTCAGGGTCCAGAATGGAGGCAAGGCCCTCAGCCCCTGGGAGCCGGGATAGGAGAGAGGAGAAGGCAGGTAAGCCTTCCGGAAAGGACAGGGACCGCCACAGAGGCCTCCGCGGGGTCCTCCGAGAGACCTGAAGAGGGCCAGGGCCAGTGTGGTCCAGGTCCGGCTCCTGCTGGGGTGGCAGGAATCAGGGTTGCCGGTGAGGAAGGAGGGGTGGACATCCCTGGGATGGAGCAGAGCCTGAGGAGCGGAGTCTGAGGAGCGGGGGAGGAAGGATGCCTCGACTGTCTGTCCAGTGTCCGGGAGGCCAGGGTCCTCCACCCCCTCCCTGTGCCCTCAATGCTGCCACGCGGCTGGCTCTGGGGAGCATCGGGGCCAGCTGCCAACAGGACGGCCGCTGGACAGGCCGGGATCAGGTGTCTGAGGCTGCAGCCAGCTCTCCGCATTCCTGCCCCGCCCCTCCCCCACTGGCCAGCGGGCTCCCCTGGGACCCCGGTGTCCACAGCCCCCATCTTTCCCTCCCTCTCTTCTCTCACAGCACCCAGAAGTCCTGGTTCCCAAGAAAGGGGGTGTGGTATCAGAGCAGGAGGCTGAGGGAGCTCTTGGTCTCAGCCGGGCTGGACAGAATAAGCCCCCATCTCCTGGGAATACGGGGGCTGTTCTGTATGAATTTGGCTGTTCAGCCTTCTGTGTTCTGGAGAGAAGACACAATGGCAGCGTAAAGGACTTAGATTACAGAAAGAACTTCAGAGCTCGAGGAGCGGAGCTCCGGCACAGGAAAGTGAAGTGTAGGTTATTACAGATCTAGGAGGGGAAGATGACTGTCCTTATTTTGGGGCTGAGCCAGCGGAGGGGGGACTCCAGGAAGATGGGGTTACCCTGGAATTCCGAGATTAGGGATGCGGAATTTGAGGTCCAGCAGCGCCGGCCACTGCAGGGCAGGAGAGGCCTGAGATGGGAGAGTTGGTGGCTCACAGCAGGAAAGGGGTGGGCGGACCTATGGGTGCAGGCACCGACTGTCCTCTCCTGGGCTTCCCAGGAAGGTGGGGGCCCCCGAGGTCTCCTTGGCCTGGGGTCTCTGTGAGTCTCTGTCTCGCTCACCTGGGTCTCTCAAAGCGGCCCTTGTGTGTTGGTGTTTGTGGAGCTGCCACACGCAGGGGCCAGGCTCGGGCGGGGGCGGGGGTGGCCGCGGTTTCCCGGCTGCTGGACTCAAAGGGCCTTTTCTCTGCTCCTCGCCCCACCTTGCCCACCCCGCCCCGCTGCGCTCTCCTGATGGCTGTGGCCTCTGGCCTGCCCTACACTTTTCTGGACGTTTTGCTGGAACTCGTTTTGGGATTTTTCCAATTTGGGGCCAATGATGTGAGACGTGTGTGACTTGGGGAACAAGCCAGGGAGAGGTGACCTGTCAACTTCCAGGGAGTCTGGGCCAAGGCAGCAAGGTCTGGGCAGAGCAGGCTGGTGACCTGGGTCTTGGACCTCTGGATCTCAGGTGGTGGGGGTGGCAGCGAGGGCTGAGATTGCAGGTGTGGGGAGCTTGCCCGGGTTTTGGGCAAGGACTCTGATGGGATCCACAGCTGTGTGGCTCTGGGCCCTGGACCTGCTCCTGTTCTGCGTGGCAGCGTCAGCCCCCACCCCTGTCCCTAGCCCATCTCCCAAGCCAGGGGCACAGGCTCCTGTGACAGCGTTCCCTGTGTCACCCTCAACATGGGCCATGCTGTCCCCATGTCCCTGATCAGGATGGTAGCAACTCGAAGCCCCCTCCCACAGAGCCGGCTCTGAGCTCTCTCCCTGGCGGCTTCCCTGCTCCTCCTGTGCCCAAGATGATCGATCGCCCAGATGTTGTTTGTGCTGAGGTGGGACAGGTGCCAGAAGCAGAGACAGGAGATACGGCGAGGGAATAAGGCAGAGGGAAAGCAGCGGGGAGAGAAGAGGATGGGCTGAGTGTGGGGGAGATGGAGACCGACAGGTGGAGAGACACAAAGAGCTAGAGACCCAGAGCCAGGGAGATGAGATACAGATGGAGGGAAGAGGTGTTAAGTTCATAGAGATTGCCAGGCGGGGAGCCAGAGGCAGGGGGCAAGAGTGGACGTGGCGTCCAGGTTGGCCAGTGCAGCCCTTCCCCTCCAGGTATGTGTGTGGTGGCGGCTGTGACTGTCAGCTCCCAGGGAATATGAGCCTAGGCAGCTAAGTTCTAGGTGACACCTTCCTGGCCCTTACCCCCCTGGACTCTCTTAGGTGCACCCCCCGTGGACGTGCTCCGGGCCCTGAGGTTCCCCTCCCTCCCTGATGGTGTCCGGAGGGCCAGAGGCATCTGTCCAGAGGATATGGCCTACCGAGTATCCCGGCCTGCCCAGCTCAGTGCGCCTACCCGCCAGCTCTTCCCAGGTATGCATGTGAACATGGGGAACCCATGGGGCCGCCCAGGATCACAGCGGGAGGGGGAGGTTGAGTCTTTCTTTACCTCTCACTGTCTGCTGTGTCTCTCTCGGGTACCAGGAGGCTTTCCCCAAGATTTCTCTCTGCTGACTGTCGTCAGGACCCGCCCTGGCCTCCAGGTGTCCCTCCTGACTCTCTACAGTGCACAGGGCATCCAGCAGCTGGGCCTGGAGCTTGGCCGACCTGTCCGCTTCCTGTATGAGGATCAGACCGGCCGGCCTCAGCCCCCGGCTCAGCCTGTTTTCCGAGGCCTCAGCCTCACGGATGGCAAGTGAGTCCGTTGGCCTCTCTGGCCTGCCTGGCCCACCCTTTCAGGGAGAGGGCCCCAAGATCCCCGGCCCTCTACTGGGAAACCCTGTGGGCCTTCTAACCATATAGCACACGTGCTCTGGCCAGGTGCCAGTCATGCCAGGCCGGGGTTTGGGCTTTGGAGTTCGTATCCTCATTCTGTATATTGCATAGCCTGTTCATGGACAGATTCCTTTACCTTTTTGAGCTTTATTTGCTGGGTTTGTAAAGTAGGTGTAATGCGGTAGAATCATGACAATCAGATGTGTGGTGCGGGGCACTGTAAGTGTGCAGTACCCAGTAGCTGCCGTGGTCCCCTCTGTGTTGCTGACTTAGCTCTCGCCAGCTATGTCCACTGCTTCTGACCCCCCCCTTCTGGTCACTCACCTGGACCTCTCCCTGCCCATGACCAGGTGGCACCGTGTGGCCGTGGCTGTGAAGGGTCAGTCGGTCACCCTCATTGTGGACTGCAAGAAGCGCGTCACCCGGCCCCTGCCCCGCAGTGCCCGCCCCGTGTTGGACACCCGTGGAGTGGTGATCTTTGGCGCCCGAATCCTGGATGAGGAAGTCTTTGAGGTGAGCAGAGCCCTTGAAAAGGAGAGATTTCTTGTGCCCAGTCACCCTCTGGCTTCACTCCATCTTCCTGTTCCCTTGGCATGGTTTTCCTCTCATGGATCTTTATTTCTAGTTTCCATTTTTAGGGGTAATTTTTTCTTTCTGTAAGAGAGCTAGACGTGTACCTGTATAGATAGGTTGTCCACCGCCACATCTCTGTCATTTCATCTACCCACCTGTCTCTTCAACCAGCCCAGTCACCCACCAGCTCACTCACCAGGCACCCCCAGTCCTTCTGTGTACACAGGCGTGCGTCTGCCACCCACTGTCTGCACCGTCCATTGCGCGGTTACTCACCTGCTCCTGCAGTTTGGCTTGTATCTGCCCGCTCGGACACCCTTCCCCTGCTCAGCCAGTTCCTCCTTCAGACAACCCGTGTACCCATCAGTCTGTCCACCCTTGACAGCCCATCTGTCCACTCAGCTGTGGGCCTGTCCTCTCCATCCACAAGTGCATGTGTCCATTTGTCCACCCAGCCACTGGGCTCCTACCACACCCACCTCCTTCGTTCAGTGCACTCAGCCCCCCATCTCCTCAGCCACTGGCTCCCCGCACGGCCCTTGGTTTGCACACGTGTTAAACTCCATCCACCTGACCTGTCTACTCTGTGCCTTCCATTCATTGACCCACAACCGACCATTACATGCATCCATTCACCACTCAGCATTCCCACTCAGCCATACACTTACCCACCCCCAGCCTTCTCCTCTCCATTAGCCTTTCATCTCTCTGTGCTTCTACTCAGCCGGTCAACTTTTGCTACATACCTGATGACCAGGGGAATAGTATGAGGTCCTATTACCCCAAGGAATTCCCAGCTTGGCCTTGGAGATGAGACATCTCCCCCCAGTAAAGTGTAAGGCCGGGTGTCTAAGCATCAAGCATGGGACAGGTGAAGGGCACTGGAAGTCAGAAAAAGGTTCTCCTCCTCCACTTCCAGAGGTCCTGAGAATTCCCGTCATCACTGCCAGTGTGAGGCCAGAGCAGCGAAAGCTGGGCCTCTGTCTTTGGAAGCCATTGTGAAAAGGCTGGGGCATCACCGCGGGGTCAGGGAGCAGGCAGTGTCGCACTGGAAATCCGAAGGCCTGAGTTTGAGCCCTCCCTCTGCCACTCTGCGTGACCCTGGCCCAGTAATCCATTGCAGAATGGAATGAGTCTAAAGATGGGCAGAAAGACCCTTGTTCTACTGACTTTCCCATGGTCATGAAGATCCCTTGAGGTCCTCTGATCCTTCAGAGTGCTGGGCACAGGGGGGCCGGCAGTGCCCTTCCCCATGACATAGCTCTCCATGGTATCAGCCTCCTGCCCTTGTCTGAGTTTCCCTCTGGCTGTCTCTGCCCTGCCTCCATCCACGTTCCTCCCTCACGTCTTGGCAGGGTGATGTACAGGAGCTCCTGGTTGTTCCTGGAGTCCAGGCAGCCTATGAATCCTGTGAACAGAAGGACCTGGAATGCAAGGAGAGTCAGAGCGAGAGACCTCAGGGCAAACCGTCTCACAGAGCCCAGAGGTCTCCGCAGCAGCCACCGTCGGGACTTCACAGGCCACAGAACCAGGAGCCCCAGCGACAGGTGAGGGCGCGGGGCAAACCCGCACTCGGTGCCCTGCAGGGAGGGAAGACACCCGGGCCTCTCCCCGGCCGCCCCAGTGTCCAGGGCCCCTGTCCCTCTGCGGGCTCCCGGCCTCTCCTTAGCTCCTTTCCCCGGGACTACCTCCTTCCCCGCTGCCTCCCCTCCCACCTCACTCAGCAACGTTTTTATTTTCCTGTCAAAATAAAAAGTTGTGATGAGGACCTTGTGGCTGGGAACTGCGTTCCCTGCTCCTGTCTCATCCTTTCCCGTTTTTCTAGAACTGTGTCCCATCCCTTTCTTGAATTAAGAGATTGGGTGACAGTGGGCAGGGTTGAGCCTTGGGGAGGGGTGGGGAGCAGCATAGGGGAGACACAGGAAGAAGCCAGAAGAGCCAGGAGGAGAGAGGGGGCAGGGGCAGGGAGGCCCCGTCTGTGAAGTGTGGGGCCCCTTCTCCGTGGAGGTGGGAGGGGAGGTGGGGTTGGGGGTCTGGGTGGGTAGGGTGAGGGATTGAGCCGGGGTTGTGGTCTGGAGTCAGAAGGGTCAATCTCTTAATCATGTCTGCTTCTGTCCCACGCGTGGGGCCTGCTCTCTCCTTCCCGCCCCTCCCTGCCCCCTCCTTACCTCAACTTCTCCGTTTGACCTCGATTCTCTGCTTCTGGCTTCATACCCTCCCCGTTTCCCAACTCCCGCACCGTCCCTGTCTGGCTGTCTCCCTTCCCCCATCTCTCCCTCTCCCATCCCCTACCCTCTTCCTGCCTGGCCCCCCAACCCCAGCCCTCTGAGTCTCTCTACTACGACTACGAGCCTCCCTATTACGATGAGATGACCACAGGGACAACCCCTGACTATCAGGTAAACTCAGGGACTCCCTAACCTCCCCCTGCCTCCCACCAATCCCATCTCCCGGGCCATCTTCCTTCCCGCCCCGGTTTCTGGGGAGAGACATCTTATATTTAGATTTTGGAGGTTTACTTACTGCCCCTCCCCTGTCTCTCTGCTGCAGCGACCTCAGAGCCCCAACCACAGGGCTCCCCCTCTCCCTAAGGGGCTTCCCCGAAAGTCTAGCCCACCTGCCAAGAGGTCAGCGGCCCGGCAGGCGCCCCCCTCTCCAGGCCGGAAGCCCTCTCAAGCGGGAGGCGCTGGCTCGGCAAGCAGCCAGCCTGCCCCTTTCCGACCAGCTCGGCAGGCTGCTCCCCCAACTGCCCGGGCCCCCACCAGGACCAGAGGCAGCGGTTACCGGCAGGTAGAACTGGGGCATCCAGATCTCTGCCCCCAAACGAGATTTCGGAGATTCATTCTCCTCTGACTGTCCCCCTCAAAGGGGCTGCAAGATCTGAGATTTCCCCCAACCCCCAGCGTAGACAGACAGCGACCTGGGGTGGGGGCGGATCAGGGGCTGCTTTGCCTCCCTTCCTGCTAACCTCCGGCCTTCTTCTCCATCGCTCCTCCTTTCTCCCACTCCTGGGGGTTAGTACCCCACCCCTGGTGAAGAGGAAGGAGTCCTGGAGTCAAGCCCCCTGCCACTCCCCGAGGAGGTAACTCCACCCACCCTCATCCCAGCAGGGGCTGTGGGCGTCTTGATGAGCCGGTCCCATCTCTGGCTGGAGGGCTCCTTGTCCCATCCTTGTGCAGCCTTCTGTCTTCTGGGCCCTTTGTCCCTGTGGGTCTGCTCGTCTCTCTAAGCACAGCTGTTTCCTTTGCTGTCCACGCCACCTTTGTGGTGCTTCGGTTCTAGAGTAGCTGCTTCTTGGTGTTGCTGTCCAACAGGCTTGTTTCCGTCCAGGTTTCCCTTCTGAGTCTGTTTCCTGCTAGTGGCGTCACCTGTTGCTCCTCCTGGTCTCCGCACCTGTCTCTCTGCATCTCCGTCTCTCTTACACTCCTGGATTCCTTGTCTCTGTTATGTCCATGGACTGTCCACTTTGCATCCAGCCCTCCAGCCACCCTCTTTGTTAGTCACCATTTTTTTCCCACCGGGTCCATTGTCTGGACATTTTCTTGGCCTTTGATGGTCACCCTCATTCTATGTAACCACTCCCTCTGATTGTCTTGGGGAGGAAAGTTCCAGTCCCAGTTACCCTCGGGGATCCTTCGGGCTAGCAGGTGTTGAAGGTGGGGGTTCCAGGATTAAACTCCTAACACCTGTCCACCCCTTCTGCCTCCCCACCCCGGGAAGGAGGAGGCAGAACTCCAGGTGCCCCCCACAGCCGACGGGTTCCTGGCAGAGCACTATGGGGAGGGGGGCACAGGCGCCCCGGCGGGGCTCTACGATTACACCTATGGCTATGGGGATGATTATCGCGAGGAGACGGAGCTTGGCCCTGCGCTCTCTGCGGAGACAGCCCGCCCGGGAGCCGTAAGTGGAGGGAGCCTTCTTCCTGGCATCAGCCGGAGCTGCTTCCTGCTGCTTCTCCTCATTGTTGGCTGGGAGCGACTTCCCTGTGGCAGCGGTTTGCCCTTGTCTGTGGGTGAAAGACGTCTGTGTTGCTTGAAAAGGTTCCGCGCTGCCTTCCCTGGCCCTGCGTCTCTCCCTGTGTCTCCCTGTGGGTCCTTTTGCCCGTGGCCCTGGAGATTTTGTTGTAATGCCATGCCGCGTCCTGTCTTTCCTGGCCACCTCCTGTCCAAGTTGTGTGGGATTTCATGAAGATTCTGTCAATAGGATCTGCCTTGTGTCTGTGTTCAGTCTGTTTCCATTGTTCTTCTTGATCAAAAGAACTTGTGTCCGTGTCGCTGCCTAGTGATGTGACCTGCTGCGTCACGTTTTCTATCCTGTGGGCCGATTCTTGTCTGTCTCTCGCTGCCTCTCTAGCCATGGCATCCATCTTGGTGACAGCCTGTGGTTGGACTGAAAGAGATTTATGATTTGTGTGCCGACTCTTATTTCTCACACTGTCTCGTGACAGTTTCTTTGACAATAAGACATTTTCTGTGTCTCAGATGATCCAGATCATAAAGTTTCCATTTTGGACCTAGATATTTATCATGGCTATTTCCTGTCTGTTCTTGCCTTGATGTTTGTGTTTTTTCCTCAGAGAACTGCTTTTCACTGTCATAATTCCATTTGTGGGAGTCCTTTTTAATCTGTTCTGAGACTCTTTCTTCCCTCTTGGTCATGGCAGCCATCTTGTTGCTGGAAGTCCACTTCCTGGATCCTCTTCTCTGGGCTGTTTCCTGTCCGTCTAGCCACTTCCTGTTTGTCGGAGTTGTTTTCTAGCCATCTTGGCTGTGTTTAATTTTTCTTGGCGCTGGCATCGTTCTGGCTTCCAAGCATGTGTCCCTTGTTTTGTCTCCCTTGGTAGTTGCTTGCATCTTCAGCACTGCCTGTCAGTGGAGTATTTCCTGTCTGCTCCACTTCATCTTCTGCCAGCCTTGCCCGTATGGCTGCCTCTTCCCCCCTGCCGCCTCACCCGCCACACCTCCCCTCTCTAACATTGCCAGCCTTAACCCTCCGCTGCCTTTCCTGTGTGCTGCCCTCGGGGGGCTTAGAGTCCATGGGGGTGGGCGAGTTGGGAACCGACCCTTGCTGTTGGGTCAAGTGGAGCTGCAGGGGGTTGTTCCAAGATCTTTGCTGAACAGTCAGAGGCGGGGTTAATGTCTTCCACTCTCCCTGTCCTCAGCTCGGGTCTAGGCCCAGGTTTGGGGTAGGCATGCAAGGGGGAGTGTGGGAGGGAGAGGGGGCTTGCTTGGGGTACAAATGAGATTCAGAGGAAGCAGATAGAGCCTTATTGGGAACAGGATGAGATGGCTCTGAGCCTTGGAAAATGACCTCAAGGGTTGTATTTTCCAAAAGCCAGTTACAGGCCTGAGTTTAGAACCCTAGTGGACTCGCTCCGCAGAGCTACTTAAGGTTTGGGTGCTAAGTCTTGTGGTGGGGGGCGGTGTTTAAACCTGTGAACTCTTTGAATTTCTACGTGAAAGTCTACATGTAAGAGGATATACTTTTTTTTTTTTTTTTTGATTCTGGGACTAGAACTCAGGGTCTCTCACTGGCCAGGTCGGTGCTGTGCCACTGAGCTGTACCCCTGGTGCAAGGGGATGTGCATTTTGTTTTCTAAAGAGAGAAAAGACACATAGCTGTCATCACATCCTTATACAGGTCCAGGCCTTACCTTTGCCTGCCCTCAAATAAAAGTCTTTCCATTGTCCCCGAGAGATTGTTACTTGATGGGCTGGAGTACGGGTGAGGGGATGGGTGGTTTCTTAGAGTTCTCAGGGTTCCTGAGGTGACAGGGAGCATGGGGAACAGTGTGAGGTCCTCCAGAAGGGAATTTGCGAAGGTCAGGGCTTTGGTTTCAGAAAGAGAAAGAAGCCACGGCAGAGACCGAGTTGTATCGCTGAGGCGTGGCTGGGGACCGGCAGTGTTGAGGGGAGCCCTGAGGTCCTTATGGCAGGCACAGGAAGTCTGTGAGCAGGAGTTTTCTAGAAGAGCTGGGGAATCTTTTAAGCAGGGCCGGTTGGTTTCTGAAGGCCCAGGCATGAAGACCTGAACCGGGATGGGGCAGTCCTGGTGTTCCGGCTGCTCATGGGCCCCGCTGGGGGTTACATGTGTGTTTCCCTCAGGTTGCCCGTGGACCCCGGGGGCTGAAGGGAGAGAAGGGAGAACCCGCAGTGCTGGAACCCGTGAGTTACATCTGTCACTGAGCCGAGGGAGGTGGAAAGAAGAGGAGAAAGCGGGCATGGGGTACTTGTCCCTCAGCCCCTGACGTTGCCCTCTAATTCCACAGGGTATGCTCGTGGAGGGGCCCCCCGGCCCAGAGGGCCCCGCGGTGAGTGTAGCTGTGACCTCAGCCTCTGTTCTTTGCTCGGAACCTCCTGCAGGCTCGGCAGCACTTTGCCTGAATGTGCCTCCTCCTCCTCGGAACTCCAGAGAGGAGTTCTGACCAGAGCTCTCGTGGTCCCAGGGCTCTTCTGTAGACAGTGTCCCTGATGCCCACACCTAACTCCCTGTTCTTTTGTTTCTCAGGGATTGGCTGGTCCCCCTGGAATCCAGGGGAACCCAGGCCCTGTCGGAGACCCCGGCGAGCGGGTAAGGGAGCGTTCTATGGGTAGGGGATGGAGGGAGGGCAGCTGTGGAGGAGCCATTGTACCCAGCGGGTTACCGTGGTAACTCCTTATCAGCCAACTGATTGAATGGTGGCAGACTCCCCAGATACCCAGAAAGGAGGGCATACTCTGGGCAGAAGAGGAGTGCCCTGCTGTCTCACCCACCTTTTCTCCATGGGGTGGGGGCTCAGGGATGATCTGGGGCATCTTCATTTACTCTGCTGAGAAATGATTCTAAATGATGCCAAGACCCCAGCACCCTCTTACTGAGGTCAAAGTGCCCATGTGTTCTCATCCTTTTGCATTCCAGGGCCCCCCTGGCCGAGCAGGGCTCCCTGGATCAGATGGGGCCCCCGGCCCTCCCGGCACCTCCCTCATGCTCCCGGTGAGTTGTCCTCTGAGCTTTGGAGTGGGCTGGTGGGGAAAGCAGGGCTGCAGAAAGAACCAGAAAGGCAGCAAAGCTGTGGGGGATTTCCAAAGATGAGCCGCCCGGACTGATCTTTGGTTATTTATTTTTTTAGAATGATCTTTGGGGTGGGAGGATTCGAATTCATTAGATGATCTAGAACCAAACTAGAACCCAGGTTGCATCGTCTTAGAACCAGGCAGAAAGTCCTGAGTTTCAAGGAGGGTCTAGAACCGAAGGCGCCTTTTGGGAGAAAGAGGCTGGAAAATGGGGAGGAGGACAGGCGCTGAGATTCTGCAAACTCCTGGGTCCTTATCTGGAGCTCACAGTAGATGCCAGAGGAGGGGGGTGGACTGTTTTAGGACTTGGGGTATGGGGCAGAAATGCCCACAGGGAGGAAGCATCTGACTGCGGAGGTTCCGTGGATTTCCTGGGTGTGAACTTGGACCTTTTCTTCTTGGCCCTCAGTTCCGGTTTGGCAGCAGTGCAGGTGACAAGGGCCCCGTGGTGGCAGCACAGGAGGCTCAGGCCCAGGCGATTTTGCAGCAGGCACGGGTGAGGAGCACCGGAGGGGATCCCAGCAGTGCGGGGGTGGGGTTGAGTGGGGGATGGATGGATGCTGGGAAGGGGCCAGAAGGGTGGGCTGCAGCAGCCAAGGAGACCAGGGAAGGCTGAGTGGTTTGGGCCTGAGCAGGAGGGTAGGGGTGGGAGGGTGAGTTTGGGGCCCTCCTGAGCTTCCCCAGCTGCCCCTCCTCAGCCCTGACGTTTCCTCACTCCTGTAGCTGGCGCTTCGTGGGCCCCCGGGTCCGATGGGATACACAGGCCGTCCTGGACCCTTGGTAAGTGAGCGGGGGTGATAGCTGCCACCACGGGGCCCTTTGTGTGTTGGGGTATGGATAATTCTGGAAAGCAGCCATGTTGGAAGTTGTTTTGCTTCTTTGGGGAAGGGCTTTAGAGTCACTATTGGGAATGTCCTTCAGCTTGGTCACCTTCTCTTTGCTTTCACAGGGGCAGCCTGGGAGCCCTGGCTTGAAAGGAGAATCAGGAGACCTAGGACCTCAGGTGAGGGCTCCTCTCCTGGTGCCCAGCCCAGTGGCTTGCCTATCTGTGTCCATTAACCCTTTTCCGTCTCTGTCCTCATCAGGGCCCCAGAGGGCCTCAGGGTCTCGCAGGCCCTCCTGGCAAGGCTGGACGGAGGGTGAGTATGCAGCGCTGGGTGCAGGTGGGGGACGGGGCTGGGAGGCGGAGGACTGAGTCTCTTCTGGCTCTCACACCTCCCCTTACCCCCAGGGCCGAGCGGGCGCTGATGGAGCCCGAGGGATGCCTGGGGAGCCCGGAGTAAAGGTAACAGGCGTGGGACCTCTCTGCCACTCTACTTCAGGACTGGACAGTTCTCCTTGTGTCCCCAGGGTTCGGCCTGGGAGGGGTGGCTGGGAAGAACTTTCACTCCAGCTGTCCCTCTTCCTCCTAGGGTGATCGAGGTTTTGATGGCCTCCCAGGGCTACCTGGGGAGAAGGGACATAGGGTAAGTGTACGGGGGGGCAGCTGGCTCCTGGGGTGGGGTAGATCTGTGGAGGGCAGGTGGGGACCTCTATGTAAGGAGGCTCGGGCCTAGCAGGAGCCTTGAAGGTAACCAGTTGATTATAGGGTGTTCAGTGTCTGCAAGTGAAGGGGACTCTGAGACCCCTCTTAACGCTTCCCCTATTTTTCAGGGTGACACTGGTGCCCAGGGCCTTCCTGGGCCCCCTGGTGAGGACGGAGAGCGGGTAAGTGCCACGGTGAGGGCAGGGGCTGGGGACCAGAGACATCTAGGAGGCCAGGCCTCTGTATTCTGTCCTTCTCTTCCAGGGAGATGATGGGGAGATCGGGCCTCGGGGGCTGCCCGGAGAGTCGGTGAGCATCTGGGGTTTGGGCTGGGCAGGGTGGGGACTCTCGGGAAACCAGGGAAGGGACTCATCTGCAAAAGGGACATGTTGTTTCTGTCTCATTTACACTGTCTCCTCTCCCAACCTGGAATGCAGGGACCTCGAGGACTCCTTGGTCCCAAAGGCCCCCCTGGTATCCCTGGGCCCCCGGTGAGTGACTCCCTGACTTCTCCCACTCTGCCTCCCCCCCCCAACCTGTGGCTCCTGTGGTCCCACCTGTCCCCGCTCCGGCTGTCACCCCCAGGGGCACTTGGAGGGCCATGTGGCTCAGGACACCAGGGCTCTGAGCACAGCCAAAGCAAAACAGAAACCCTCAGCAAGAGCAAAACAGAAAGCCTCAAACCCACAGCTCCATGGCCCACGCCCGCAGGTCTGGGCCGGCTGTGCTGTGCTTAGGTTTGGGAGAATCTGTGGCCTGACTGAGGAGTGCCTGCCCCGCCTGCCCTGTCCACCCGTCCACCCGTCCACCCGCTGGGCCTCTCTAAAACCACAGGTCCCTGGAGGCCCAGCTGGAGCTCAGGCTTCCAGCCGCTCACGCCCTTCTCGTGTTTCAGGGAGTCAGAGGCATGGATGGACCCCAGGGTCCCAAAGGGAGCTTGGTGAGTAGCGGGTGTGGAGGCCCAGCCCCTTCACCCCAGGTGCCTGACCCCGTCTGCTTCCCGCTCCTGTTGTCTTGGCTGCCTCTGCTCCCTGCCCTTCTGGCTCTGTCCCCTCTCTTCTGACTCCCACCTGGCTGCCTGTTTCTAGGGACCCCAGGGAGAGCCGGGACCTCCTGGACAGCAGGGCACCCCTGGGACCCAGGTGAGTGGTCCTTGGCACCCTCTCCAGCCATGGTGACTCCGTGGGCTCTGTGGTGGGTTAGGTTCCAAGTGGGGACGAGAAATCCAGGGTCCCCAGGCCTCTTGCTCATGTCCTACATGGGAATGTTGAGGGTGGCTGGGGGAATGGCCCACCTCTGTGGCCCCCGTGACTTCTCTCCCCTTGTGTAGGGTCTCCCTGGGCCTCAGGGTGCCATTGGCCCTCATGGCGAGAAGGTGAGTGACTAAGGGTGCAGAGGGCAGGGGGTTCTGGGGGTATGTGGGGGGCTTGGAATATCTCCTGGGGTCTTAGCAGTGACCCCAGTAGCAGCTCCCAGTCTGCTCATCTTCCTGCAGGGCCCTCAAGGGAAACCAGGGCTCCCTGGCATGCCTGGCTCAGACGGACTCCCGGTGAGTGGGGCCCACTTTTAAACCCAGATCTCACACAGCCCTTTGCCTTCGAGCTCCTCCTGATGGTCCCTGTGCTGGAAGGCACTGGGGGTGCCCAAGGTCAGCTGGCTTTGTGCGGTCGGGGAGTCTGGGTTGGACGCAGTGTAGGGAGAGGAGCGGGGAAGTGATGACACTGGCGGTCATGTGGTGCATCTCCTGCCCCTTAGGGTCACCCCGGGAAGGAAGGTCCTCCCGGAACCAAGGGAAACCAGGTGAGCTCTTCCGTGCCCCCTTTTACCTCCTGGAGGGGCCTGTGCCTGCCTGGGCCCCCTGCCCTTGGGGTCTCCTTTTCTCTTCCCGTGTGTGACCCTGACATTATCCTCAATTTCCCGCCCTGTCCTTCCATTCCGATTTCTCTTGCCACCTGCTGACCCAACAGTGACACCCCAAGGACCCTTTATAAGTGCCTCTCTTTCTTCTTGCAGGGTCCGTCTGGACCTCAGGGTCCTTTAGGATACCCGGGACCTCGAGGTGTCAAGGTACCTGACCCTGGTGGAGCGAGCTGGGGTATCAGGGGCTGGGTCCCTCGAGTCTCCAGCCTGATCCTCATCTCCGTTCTCTGTCTTCCTCCAGGGCGTGGATGGAATTCAGGGTCTGAAGGGTCACAAAGGTGAAAAGGTGAGCACTGTGCCCCCAGCTTCCTGACACCCCTGTCCTGCCCACCTCCTCCCTCTTTCAGGGTGCCCTGAAATCCACCCTGTCACCTGTGTTCCCTGAAAACCCCCACTTTAACTCCCCCATCTGGCTGTGCTCTCACATCTGTCTCTCTCAGGGTGAGGATGGCTTTCCTGGGTTCAAAGGTGACATAGGCGTGAAAGGCGACAGGGTGAGTAGACACCCCACGCTGGTCCCTCTGCTCCTCCACTTTGGCTCTCTGATCCCCAGCCTTTTCTGTGAGACCCTGACTCCCAGCTCCAGTGCTGTGGCCCATCACAGCCCGATCCCAGTGGGGCCTCTGTGCCATGTTCTCTGCCTTCCTGGCCTCCAGTCCACTCCTCCTACCCGGGGTCTCCCTGGACCGTGGTAGCTTTTGGGGCTTCCCCAACCCCGCTAGAGGAGAGATCTCTGCCTCTGCCTGTCCTCTGTCCGGATCCCCCAGCCCTGACACTCACCTCCCCAATTTTCCCAGGGCGAGGTTGGAGTCCCTGGCTCCCGGGGAGAAGATGGCCCTGAGGGCCCAAAGGGACGCACTGGACCCACTGGGGACCCTGGGCCTCCTGGGCTCATGGGCGAGAAGGTGATGGGAATGGGGACGGGGGATCTGGGCCCAGGGTCTCTGGGATGTGGAAGGCGGGGCCTGGGCACTGAGAGGGGTGGGAAGGAGATGGGACGTAGCAAGGGTTCGGCCATGTACTGTGTGGCCCTGTGTGCGGTCTCACCTGGTTGCCAAGGGGTTGGGGGTGCAGCAGAAGTCAAGGAAAGTCCTTCTCATGGTGCGCTGCTGGCCGGGAGCACCAAGGTGGAGGGGCTTTGTGGGGGGTGGAGTGGGTGGTGTGCAGCCTAAGCAGAATGGGGGCCTGTGAGAGCCCGGCCTTGGGGGCGCTGGAGAAGACGGAGCTGAGGGCGACAGGTGGGCAGTTGCTAGTGCACAGTGATCCCGCCTTTAGCAGACTGGTCTGACATCAGGGAGACACTGGACGGGGGAATCCGCTCTTGAGAGAAAAGCTCGAATGCTTCAGGCCCTTGTAGTGGGGAGGGGATGGGTTTGGTGGGAAGCGTTGCTGTTGGGAGCTGATGGTTTCCAGGGAAAGTGGTGTTTATGACTCCTCTTGCCCTCCTACAGGGCAAGCTGGGGGTTCCTGGCCTGCCTGGCTACCCTGGACGCCAGGGTCCCAAGGTAACGTGATGCCCTGTTTGGGCCCCTCTTCCTTTCCCTTCCCTGTCCCTGGTCCTGGGAAGCACAGAGTGGCAGAGTCCTGGATAACTGGGGGGGGGGGGGCTGCCATTCTACAGATGTAAAAACAGAGGCTGGGGGGTAGCATGGTTTGCCCGAGGCCACCTGATCCTTGGCAAGGTCCAGGGACCCTGGCTGTGGTTGGCACAGCTTCTCCTGGTCCCGCACCCCCTCTCCTTTCCTGACTTCTCATCCTGCTTCTCCACCCCCACAGGGGTCCCTGGGATTTCCTGGTTTCCCTGGAGCCAGTGGAGAGAAAGGAGCCCGTGTAAGCTGGAAAAGGCGCAGAGGTGGCGGGAAGGGCTGGTGGGTGTTGGAGGGGTCACACCCCATGACATCCTCTGCTCCGTTCTCACCAGGGCCTGTTGGGGAAAGCAGGACCTAGGGGGGAGCGAGGTCCCACGGTGAGTGTGGGGGACACGGGCTCTGGGGTTCTGAGCAGTGTATGTGGGTATTTCTGACCATGTCTTTTGCTCACCCAGGGCCCGCGGGGCCAGCGGGGACCCCGAGGAGCCACTGGCAAGTCTGGAGCTAAGGTTGGTGGCCTCTGCAGGGCTCTGCTGCCTCTGCTCATGGGTGGCAGCTCCTTCTCACCCCCCCCCCCCCATGGCAGGAAGCAGCTCCTTTCAGTGCTTGCCTCTGTTTCCCCCCGCAGGGAACATCAGGTGGTGACGGCCCCCATGGGCCTGCTGGAGAGAGGGTGAGTGTGGCTGGAGGGTCTTGTTGCCCACTGCTCTGCAGGCAGGAGCTGTGTCCCCTGCCTGATGTTGTCCGTCCTTCCTGACTCTGCGTATCTCTGTCTCCAGGGCCTCCCTGGACCTCAGGGCCCCAATGGATTCCCTGGCCCCAAAGGCCCCCCGGTAAGCTGACCGCTGACGCCGACCTACCTTGGTCCTCAAGTCCTGCTTTCCTATGCCCCTGCCCAGCCCAGGGTTCACCTGACCTCTGAACCCCTTCCAGGGACCTCCTGGGAAGGACGGGCTGCCTGGACATCCAGGCCAGAGAGGAGAAGTGGTAAGTGACACCCTCATGCCCAGAACCATTGAGAGGACCATGGGGCTGCCAGCAGAGTGAGCAGGCACCCATGCTGCTGGTGCCACCCCGTGCTGTGTGACCTCCCTCCGGGGAGCCCTGGCTCTGCCCTGCTCTCTCCGTACCTGCTCTGATCTCCTCTCCTCTCCCAGGGCTTCCAAGGGAAGACGGGCCCACCTGGCCCCCCTGGAGTGGTGGGACCCCAGGTAGGTCTGCCTGCAAGGGAGAGTGGACCCCAGATCCGGGGTCAGCCTCCTAGTCGCACATCCCTGGCCCTAGTTTGCATGCCCCGGCCCTGGAGGGTGGGGTGTGGGGCCGGGTCCTGAACCTTTGGTTGCCAGCCCTGGGCCGGTTTCCTTGTGCTTGGGGAGGAGGCAGTTCCCATCAGGGACACCAGGTGGCGCTGTTACTCCACACCGGAAGGCAAGGCGAGCGCGGCCCAGGGAACCCCAGGAGGATCCTGCTCGCTCCTGGGAAGCAGTAAAGGGCCTTAGAGGGGTATTTTAAGGCGGCAAGGGTGGACTCTGGGTAGACAGTGGGGTGAAGGGCTGATCCTGGGAACTCTACCCCTTTTCCAGGGAGCAGCAGGAGAAAGTGGTCCCATGGGGGAGAGAGGTCACCCAGGCCCCCCAGGACCTCCTGGAGAGCAGGGACTGCCTGGCACAGCTGGAAAAGAAGGGACCAAGGTCAGTGAGGGACCAGCAGAGGGGAACTTGGGGGCTGGGCCTGCGTGCTGAAAGGGATGGTGATGGGCTTTACAGAGATTTCTTTGCCCAATTCAGGAGCATGGCTGTGGCTCACACCTCTCTTTTCCTTTTAGGGTGACCCTGGCACCCCTGGGGCTCCCGGGAAAGATGGCCCAGCTGGTCTGAGGGGCTTCCCAGGGGAGAGAGGCCTCCCTGGCACTCCTGTGAGTGGGGCCCCCAGCCACCTGCCTGTCACGAATCACCCTGCTGCACCACTCCCTGCTCCACCCCTGTGAGCCCCGAGTCCTCCACGACCCTTATCCTTGCTGCCATGCGTCTTAGCAACCTGTTTGTTCCCTCCTGGCTCCCTTCTGGCCTCACCTGTTGTCCCGAATCTGCGCTTCATAGGGTGGCCCCGGTTTGAAGGGGAACGAAGGTCCAGCTGGCCCTCCTGGCCCTGCAGTGAGTCTGGGGTCCTGGGGGTGGGTGGAAAGGGGTGGGGGAGGCAGGGTGAGGACCAGCGTCTGACAGGACCAGGGGACTGGGCAGGGGAAATCTTGGGTCATCCAGAATGCCCCCGACTTTCAGTGTTCCTCCTGGTCAGGGTCCTTCGGTTTTGGTGGGCTGGAGTCTCTTTCCTGGGGGCCTGACTCAGCTTCCTCATGTAGGGCTCCCCTGGAGAGCGAGGTGCAGCAGGATCAGGGGGACCCATTGGCCCCCCAGGGCGCCCAGGCCCACAGGGTCCCCCAGGAGCAGCTGGCGAGAAAGGCGTCCCGGTGAGTGCGGGGGGCCTGGGCTGGCTGTGTGCTGAGGTGAAGGCTGTGGGGTCTCCGGCAGGGTGTGTGAGGGTGAGGGTCACCTCCAGGCTGTGACTCCTTCTTTATTTCCCTCAGGGTGAGAAGGGTCCTATGGGTCCCACCGGCCGCGATGGGGTGCAGGGTCCTGTGGGACTTCCTGGGCCTGCTGGACCCCCTGGTGTGGCAGGAGAGGATGGTGACAAGGTGAGGGAGCCCGTGGCCTGGCGGGTCACCTGTCCCAGTGAAACTGCGGCTGTGGGCATGGCTTCCTTAGCCCCGTGTTGTCTCTCCCTCCTCCACCATCTCCTTTCCCTGACGTCTCGTCTGCCTTCTCCACGCAGGGTGAGGTGGGGGACCCTGGACAGAAGGGCACCAAAGGAAACAAAGGCGAACATGTAAGTGCCGTGACTTGGCCTGTGTGTGCGGGCACAGGCCCGCTTTGGAAATCTAACCCAGAGCCATTCAGGGCTCTGCCGCTGAGCCATCTCCCCAGCCCATGACACTGGCCTTTGACCTCCTGCCTTCTGGAGTCCCTGACTCTTCTTTCTCCCCCAGGGCCCTCCTGGACCTCCCGGACCCATTGGTCCTGTGGGGCAGCCTGGAGCAGCAGTGAGTGTCCCTCTGCCCCACTTGAGTCCCCAGGGGTCTCTGATCTGCTGTGGTTCCCTTCCGCCCTTGGGATGGGCCTGGGAGTGGGGCTCTGGGCCTGGTGCCCACTCCATGTGGGGTTTGTGGATAGAGAACATCTGACTATCTGTGTCCCTGTCCCTGTCCAGGGAGCTGATGGGGAGCCTGGAGCTCGGGGGCCCCAGGGACACTTTGGAGCCAAAGGTGACGAAGGAACAAGAGGCTTCAATGGGCCGCCGGGACCCATTGGTCTGCAGGTGAGTTGGGGGCTGGGGCAGGGGCTGAGGGGCTGATGTTGGCCCCAGACGCCTACCTGCAGCCTGCCCATGCGAACTGGGTGGGGACAGCTGGCCGGGAAGGCAGGTGGGCCTGAGGGAGGGACCATGGGGACCGGTCTGCCTATGGCCACACTTCGGGCGGGTTGGTCACCTGGGTCTGTGCTTTGAATTCCGTACAGGGCTTGCCAGGCCCCTCTGGGGAGAAGGGAGAAACAGGAGATGTGGGTCCCATGGTGAGTGTGACCCCTCCCCCACCCTCCCCCATCGCACCAGCCACCAGCCCCAGCCCAGCACTCCGCTAAGACCTCACCATGCACACTGGGCCCTGGCCTGCCCCCCCATCCATGCCCAGCCCCACCATCCTGCTCCATCGTGGAGGTCTCCCCTTCCCCATTCTCTTCTCTGATACATCTGCTCCCTCCCAGGGACCTCCCGGCCCCCCAGGACCTCGCGGCCCAGCTGGACCCAACGGTGCTGACGTGAGTCCCCTTGGTCTCCTGCCGGGGGCCCCTGCTTTGCCCTTGACCTTAGGCTTTGCTCAGGCCTCTGCCTGTGCCAGGCAATGACTCTTCTCTCCTTCCTGTGTTCAGGGCCCGCAAGGTCCCCCAGGAGGTGTTGGGAACCTCGGTCCCCCTGGAGAGAAGGTAACTTGGATCAGTCCCTGGGATCTGGGGGTAGAGGTTGGATTTCTGCCCGTTTTATTTGTGGGTACAGAAGAGAAAGAGGTGGGGAGCACAGGGACTGGGAAAGGAAGGAGGCTTTCACCCCATCAATGCTTTTTTTTCTTTTTAGGGGGAACCAGGAGAACCAGGGTCTCCAGGGGTCCAGGGCGAGCCAGGTGTCAAGGTAAGTGAAGCTCTGAGGCCTGGACCCCAACCTTGTGTCCCCCTGTGAGCCGGCTCTGTCCATTCCCAGCCCAGGCCTCTCTGCCTGGTCTCTGGGCCCGAGTGAGCCCGTGCCATCCTGTCCCTGGGGGCAGAGGTCCCCATCTCCTGTCCCTCTAGCTGCCCTGCTGCTCCCTCTGACTTTAGGAGGGTGTCATGGTGTCACCGAGGGGACAAAGAGGCTGGAATCAGGGCTGCATCCCTGAACTTGGAGCCCCCCTCAAGACCACCTGTACCCTCCTTGTCCTCCAGGGTCCACGTGGGGAGCGTGGGGAGAAAGGAGAGTCGGGGCAGGCGGGAGAGGCCGGGCCGCCCGGACCTAAAGGCCCCACAGGCGACGATGGCCCCAAAGGCAACCCTGTGAGTTTGGGAAGTTCTGGGAGGGAATGGTGCCTCCTAGGAGGAACACAGGGTCTGGTGCAGAGGGAGTGAGAAATGCCCTGCAGTCAGCACCCAGATGGCGGAGGAGGCACAGGGGTGTGTGGGTGACAGAAGGGGCTGCTCCTGAGCCTGGGGTCCCTGGACGCTGCCTGTGGCGAGGAACAGACCCAGGCGTCTGTGCTGGCTCTGGTGGCTTGGTCTGCTGTGATTGTGACCCTGGTTTTCGCTCTGGCTTAGGGTCCTGTCGGTTTCCCGGGTGACCCTGGCCCTCCAGGAGAAGTCGGCCCTAGGGTGAGTCCTGTCCAGAGCATCTGCAGAGGGATGGGTGCAGCCGAGGGACCTGGGTGCTAGGCAGCTGGGAAACATCGGGGCAGGAGGGTGGCAGTTTGGGGGTGATGCCATCTGGGTTGGGAGCTGCCTTTGACCTTGTCTCCTCTCTGCAGGGCCAGGATGGTGCTAAGGGAGACCGAGGAGAGGATGGCGAACCAGGGCAGCCTGTAAGTGACCAGAGACCTCCCCCGCCTCAACTTGAGGCTTTACACCCCTCTTCTGTGCTCTGCAGAAGGGGCTCCCAGTCTGGGAGCCACACATTCACCCTACTTCCTCCCTCCCTAGGGATCCCCTGGTCCCACTGGGGAGAATGGGCCACCTGGACCACTTGGGAAGCGGGTGAGTGGGCTGGACGCCTGGGACCTTGCGTGGCAGCCCTGGTGTGCGGTGGGTGGAGGCAGGGACAGTGGCAGGTGGTGGGCAGGGAGGGCCTGGTGTCTGATTGTGCCTGGTGGGTACACACTTGCAGGAGTGGACCTTCAGTCCTGCTGTGTGCACCTCGTGTAGCTTAGCTCCTGGGGTCTGGTCTCCTATTCTTGCCAGGGGTAGCAGCACGTACTGACCAATCAGGATGAGCTCTGGGGGGCTGGCATTTTCTAGAGGTCCTTGCTGGGCCAGGGGTTAGGCTCCTAGATGCTGGGACCAAAAGTGGCCAGGAGGTGGTCTGTGGTGTGACCCTCTCCACCAGAGGCCCAGAACCGCTCAGTATTCTAGCACCTGGTGCAGTGATGCCTGATCTTACCGCCTGCGAATTGGCCCTCTGTGTTTGGGCCCGTGTCTGTAATGTGTGTGAGTGTGTGTACACGCATGTGTGCACCAGTGTGTGTGCAAGAGGACAGGAGCAGCAGGAGTTCAGCCTGGCTGCCCACGGCCTCATTTCCTTCCTGCCTTCCCACAGGGTCCTGCTGGCACACCTGGCCCCGAGGGGCGCCAGGGAGAGAAGGGAGCCAAGGTGAGGGTGCGGCCACCCCGTATGGGGCTAGAGATTCCCTCAGTTTCCTCCCTGGGCTCCCTCTCTCCCCAGATGCCTGTCCCATGGCCACCCCGCTCCTTCGAGCCCTTGTGGGGACAGGGGCTCTGTATTTGCCGCTGCTCCAGGGTTTCTGGAGGTGTGACCCCTCTTCTCTCTCTCCCCCTTTCCATCTTGAGCCCCCTGTCCCCCCTGCTCGTCTCTTTTGGACACATTTTCTGTGTTTCAGGGAGATCCTGGTGCCGTGGGTGCCCCAGGGAAGACAGGCCCTGTGGGTCCTGCTGGCCCAGCAGGAAAACCTGGCCCTGATGGGCTGCGGGGGCTCCCAGGCTCAGTGGTGAGTCGTGGGATGCAGCACAGGGTGAAGGCCCGTGGGAGGGGTACAGTGTGGGGATGCCCCTCCTGACCCAGGTCTCCCCAATCTGTAGGGTCAGCAAGGCCGTCCTGGAGCCACAGGCCTGGCGGGGCCCCCTGGCCCTCTGGTAAGTGATGGACGGGGCTGGGTCAGTGCCCTGGGGCAGTGGGCGTCAAGCTGAAGCTGTGGAGGGAGTGGGGGGCCTGGGGAGAACTTGGTCCCACCTTTCTCTGGAGAGAGTGACTTCCGGTCTCCCCACAGGGACCCCCAGGGCTTCCTGGTCTCCGGGGCGATGCAGGTGCCAAGGGGGAGAAGGTGAGTGACAGACATGCAGCTGGGGGTCTCCCACCACCCTCACCCCCTGAGACCTGTGGGGCCAGTGAGTGTCCACCACTCTGCCTCAGCTCCCAGCACCCAGTCCCTGGTGGCCCTTGCTCTTGGGGACACTCACAGGGCTGCTCTCTCCCCAAACTCCGTACCCTGCCCCTCTTGTCTTCTTGACCATTTTTGTGTGTGTTTTGGGGGTTAGATTTGTGGCATCACACAAATTGAGCATGCGCTGTATCACCGAGGTGGACCCCCAGCCCCTTGACCATCTTCCCCATCACGTGACTCTCCCTGCATCCTGGTGACCACTGTCCCCTCCTCCAGGGTCACCCAGGTCTCATTGGACTGATCGGCCCCCCTGGAGAGCAAGGAGAGAAGGGTGACCGGGGACTTCCTGGCCCTCAGGGCGCCGCTGGACAGAAGGGCGAGACGGTGGGTGGAGGGTGTAGGCCTGGAAGTCCAGGGGATAAGGACGGGAATCTCGGTGGGGTGGGATTCGGGACGCAGCTGTGGGGTGGGAGTGGGTGCTCTGGAGGCGGCGAGGGGGACCTACCTGACCCAGGCCTCTCCCCACCTCAGGGCATCCCAGGAGCATCTGGCCCCATCGGTCCTGGAGGGCCTCCCGGCCTCCCCGTGAGTATCCCGCTGGTCCTCTTCTAGGTCCTCCAGCCCCACTGTCTGTAACCTCATGGGACTTCGTCCAGCTGCAGCCCTCACGGCCCTCCAGCACTTCTGTCCCTGTGTCCCAGTGTCTCTGGGATGCCCCCGTAGTCCTCAGCGCCCCCACATGATCCAGGGTCCTGTGGACATGTGACCCTGCTCTCCTGTCCTCTATCTTGGCCTTTCCTGTGACCGTTATTTTGTTCCTCATTTTACAGGGACCTGCTGGCCCCAAAGGAGCCAAAGGAGCCACAGTGAGTGACCCCTGTCACCTCAGACCTCTGCTCCCCCAGCTGGCTTCACCCCATCTCTCAGGGCAACGCAACCCCTGCCCCCAGCTCCTCATTCCCAGCCAGGAGACTCATGTGACCCCTCCGTGACCTTGACCTCATGCTTGACCTCTTGACCTCACCCTGACCTCATTAATCCTTTGTCAGGGCCCGGCTGGACCTAAGGGAGAGAAGGGCGTCCAGGGCCCCCCAGGACACCCGGTGAGTTCTGAGGCTGAGCCTGCTCCTCTGGCTTCCCTGTCCGTCACTTTCACGGCCACCTCATCTCACCCTTTCTGTCCCTCCCCCCAGGGGCCTCCAGGCGAGGTGATCCAGCCTCTGCCCATCCAGATGCCCAAGAAGACTCGCCGCTCGGTGGACGGAAGCCGCCTGATGCAGGAAGATGAGGCCGTGCCTACTGGGGGTGCCCCCGGCAGTCCTGCGGGGCTGGAGGAGATCTTCGGCTCCCTGGACTCCCTGAGGGAGGAGATTGAGCAGATGAGGCGGCCGACAGGGACCCAGGACAGCCCCGCTCGCACCTGCCAGGACCTGAAGCTCTGCCACCCGGAGCTGCCCGATGGTGAGGGCCAGCTCAGGGCTGGGGCGCTGGGCGAGCGGAATGGGCGCCAGGGCCTTGGGGACGGTGCCAGGCTGGGGCAGAGGCCGAGGGGCTCGGAGCAGGGGCTCCTGATCCTCCCGCTCAGGAGGACTCAGCCCATGGTCAGCCCACAGGGTCCTGCCAGTGCTTGCAGGCCCTGGAGTGGACAGCTGGGCACCTGGAGTGGACAGAGACGCATGCATGAGCACTTGTGTTCATACTCAGCCTCATAGGTGACCCAGTGTGAGAGTGTCACGCGCCTCCACTCAGACGCCTGGCGTTACTGTTGGGGGCAGGAGTCAGCCGTGAGGGCCCTGCAGCAGGCGATGAGGGAAACTGAGGCAGAGTACCAAGAATGCTGAGGGGAGGGTTGGGGGTTCAAGGTAGGTGGAGAGAGCAAAGGCCATCTCAGAACACAGACCCTGACCTCCTGTCCCTTCGTCAAAGGAGAGTACTGGGTGGACCCCAACCAGGGCTGCGCCCGGGACGCCTTCCGGGTTTTCTGCAACTTCACAGCAGGAGGCGAGACGTGCGTGACCCCCAGGGATGACGTTACCCAGGTAAGCCTCGACCCAGACTGCACTGCCCTATTCCTGGCACGGTCCCCTCAGGGCCTGGTGGTGTCTAGAGTCCTTGGCCAGTGCTCTACTGTCCTCCCCTCGGATGTGCCGCCCGGGGATGTGCCGTTCCCTGCCCTTGAACACTATGACAGACATTGCTTCTGGCTCACACCGCACTGTGCTGAAGCCCGACTCGGCGGCTCCTCTGCAGCTGCTCCCCAGGCCCGCGGTGACCCTGCCCGCATCTCTTTGCAGTTCTCTTACGTGGATGCAGAGGGCGCCCCTGTTGGTGTGGTCCAGCTCACCTTCCTGCGTCTGCTCAGTGTCTCTGCCCACCAGGATGTCTCCTACCCCTGCTCCAAAGTGTCCCCCGACAGTCCCCTGAGACTTCGGGGAGCCAATGAGGATGAGCTGAGCCCTGATACCAGCCCCTACGTCAAGGAATTCCGAGATGGCTGTCAGGTGGGGCCAGGAAGGCTGGGCGGGAGGGGGACCCCAGTGCAGGCTGCAGGGAGGAGGTGGGGGCCTTTGGGGCAGGGTACCATCGATAGCAGGAGGAGCTAGTGGGGGTAGGGAGACAGGAGCCCGACTCCTGTGAGCTGCCTGGGTGGGGCTGCCTGGGGGGGGCACTGCTGTCATGCAGGCTGAGCTGGGTGGACTCCATCAGGGCAGAGGGTCCCCAACTGAAAACTGGGGGCAGTGGCACACAGACACCCCCAGTCTGTACATCCTGAGTCACTGCACGGGGTTGAGGTGCTTTGAGAGGAGCCAAGCCTGATGGTGGGTTTGGGAGTGCCCTGGGGCTCATCCTGGCCTCTCCTGTCCCCTCTTCAAGACGCAGCACGGCCGGACAGTGCTGGAAGTGCGCACCCCGGTGCTGGAGCAGCTGCCCGTGCTGGATGCCTCCTTCTCTGACTTGGGGAGCCCCCCGAGGCGGGGAGGGGTGCTGCTGGGCCCAGTCTGCTTCATGGGCTAGGACCTTCTCCGTGTGACTTGTCTGACGCCACCGGGCCCACCTGAGATCACACAGCATTGGCTCTGCATCTCCTCCCACCAGGACCATGGGCCAGGACCCTGAGAACCCCATCAGGGGCAGTCGGGGGAGGGTGCGATTCCAGTGCCAGGGACACCGCAGGGGAGAGTGGCACTAGTGGCTCCCCATCCTTCCACCTAGAGCCTGTGACTGTCATCGGAGAGCTGAGACCCTTATTTAAAACTCACCTGCCAACCACCCCAAACAAGTGGAAGAGAAAGGACACTGTGTATTTTGTATTTAAAAGTAATTATATTAATTATTTAAAGAGCAGAAAGCACTATAACAAAAAGGATAAAGAGAGAAATGCCAACAGAAGTCCCCTGATGTTGGAGACAGGCTCTCCGAGGGTGGGCTGCACCCCACCTTTGCCTGAGGGCCTTCCTCAGTGACTGTGTGGGGGTGGCCCAGTGAACCCCACATCCTACACCCCCCAGTACACCCACTGTGAAAGTTGGAACACAGGGTCTCCTCAGGGCTCTGACCCTCCCCAGGGTGGGGCCCCCTCCTCTCTTCCTGCCAGGGGTTGGCTCCCTGCCCCAGCCAGCTGCTGTCCCCTCACTGGGCTGGGTCTGGCAGGAACTGGCTGCTGCTGGAGGACCCAGTTATGCTCCCAGGGAAGATGATACCGAGATCTGTCCGCACTGGCGGATAAATCGCCATGACCCAGCTCCTGGAGTACCCCACTGTTGTCCTGGTCACCCCAGACCTGCTCTGGACCCTTCCCTGATCCCGCAATTAAAAGGGTTAATGTGTGGCTGGAGGCTGGCGGGACTCCGGAACCGCCTTGAGTCCCTGACTGACGGTTAAACAAAGTGATTGTCTGCCCCCGTGTGAGCGTTGGTACCTGTGTTGTTATTTCAGTGTCTCCCAAACCCCTCCAGCCCCCTCAGCTGAGCCCTTACCAGAAACGGACGGCTTCATCCTAGCCCTGGGCGCACCGGGCTGGGTGGACCCCAATCACACGCGGGTGCCCAGCTGCTCCGTGATGTCACACGGGCTGCGTGTCTCGGGCCCAGGGTCCCGCACCAGTGCAGAATGCGGAGTGCGCACATCAAATACAACCCCCCAAGATCTTTAGGGGCTTGTGGGCCAGAAGGAGCCTTAGGGGTCCCGTCTTAACTTTCCAACGGGGAGACCGAAGCCCCCCTCCAATATGACCTCTACCGCGCCTCCGGCCACCGCACCCCTATCCTAGGGCCACGTCCTTTGATAAAAGCGCCCCATTCTTAGCCCCCCCCCCCCCGTCCCTTCCCAAGCTGTCTATCCGGGCTCAACCAGCGGCTGGGGGCCCCTCTGGCTCAGGGTCCCACGGCGAGACGTGGCCCCTAAAACTCCCAACTGCGGTGGGGGGGAGGGGTGCGGAGGTCGGAGGGGCCGCGTGCCCCGGTTGTGAGCGGGTCCATTTCCCTCTGCGACCCGGGGCACAGAGCCGAGCGCCCCCTGCGGATCTCCGCGCCGCCGCCGAAATCGCTGTCCCGCAGGTCTGAGCCTTGGGGCGCTCAGGCCTGTCCGTCCTCGATCTCAGGAAGCCACCCCAAGGCGTCTAGAAGCCCGGCGTGCACCAGTCTGCGTCAAGAAACCCGGGCGCAGGTGGGGACCCAGCTCGCGAGCTCGCGGCCTGGGCTCGGCGCATCTTCCCGCCTCTGCCGCCCCCTGCTGCCGGCCGGCGCCAGGACCTCCAGGGCCCTCGGACTCCCCCGGGCCTCCGCCCTGCTTCGTCACCCCTGGAACCCTTAGTCACACTCCCGCCACCCAGGAGATGGAGTGGAGGAACCCTTTCTTCGTCTGTCGGGCCGGCGATGGGCAGGATGCTGGGGTCTCCTGGTGCCCTCTCCGGACACTTTCCCCGTCTCTTCCCTTCCCCTCTTCTCCTGTCCTTCTCCGCCATCTTCTGTCCCTATCCTCGGTGCCAAACCACAGAGGTCCGCCCCAGAGTGAAGTTCTGAGCCCAGGGCACAAAGGTCACTTTTAGTGCGCTGCTCTGGGCTCAGAACTTCACTCCACAGACACATAGCCATAGTCACTCAACTAACATTTATATTCGGCTGTCGGGCTAGCGCGCAGGCGACCCATTGAGCAGTTTTCTGTCCAGTTCTGTGCCAGGCCTCAGGCTCTCCTCACTGTGGACCGCACTCGCCCTTCTCTCCGGCCACCCCGGGGGCGCTGAGAGGGCGCATCCGGAGGCGGGGCCGGGGCCGGGGCCGGGCGGGGCTGGGCTGGACTGGGGCGCGGCTGAGGCGGGGCCGGGGCCCTGGCTGGGCGGTGCGTGCGCCCTGGCTGCGGCTTTGGCAGAGGTGCAAGGAAAAAAGGGAGCAAGAGAGGCCGCGACGCGGAGGTGCTGCTTTGGGTTTGGGACAGCACAGGAGCTCCTGCTGGAGGTGGAGGGCTCGGTTCTGCCGCGGCTCGGCTGCTGCTCAGAAGAGTTAAACCTGAATCCAGAAAGTCAGAGAAAGTGGTTGAGGGTGGCTGAGCAGGCGACTGACGGGACGCGGTCATCGCCCAAGAGAGGGTGGGGGGACAGTGACCTCACAGGGGGGGTGTCCTCTGGCCCGTCCGAACCTTGAGCGGCTGCCGAGCTTGGGCTTGCTATTTTCGGCACCCCTGACGTACGGTAAAGAAGAAATACTGTGCAGTATGGACCCCTTCGCTGCAGACGCTGTCCCTGGCCCTCGGATTGCTCCACACCCGGCGGCTGCGGGCGCAGAGCTGAGCTCCCTGTCCCCCTGCCGCGTTGCACGCTGGGATTTGCAGTTTTGAACAGGTGGGGTGCGGTCGGGTGGGGTGGGGTGGAGACAGCACAGAGCCGGCACCGTCAGCACCGCACACAGACCTCTTCCTGGCCAGCCCGGCGTTGCGGAGTCCCGAGCCTGCTGGAAGGAGCAGACGTCACCCCGGCTCTGTTACCTTCTCTGTCGTCTTTACAGTCCTTTCCTGGGAACTGCCACTAGCAGCCCTCTCATCTAATGAGGAGACCTGTCCCACTCATCCCTGAATGGTGGTCGGGGACATCTATGGGGCATATCCTTCAGCCCCACCCCCGACGGCCAGACAATGGGATGGGCATAGCTCTCACCCCGTGAGAGCTGGGGTGGCACTGCCCGCCTCTGGGAGGGTGGGACCCTGTCCCTTTCCTGTGCTTTGTTTACCTGGCCTCTCCCTGTTAGCAGCGTTTGACTCCCGGGCTGCAGTCCTGGTGCTCAGGAAGCTCCTGTTCCAGGATTCGCGCCTGTAAAGGGCTCTGACTCCGTGGAGACTGAGGCCGAACCGGAGTATTGTGGTGCAGATTCCTTCTGGGAAGATGGGCCAGGGGGCCTGCCTTCCCCTAGATGGGGTTTACCGCTGGTCCTTGTGCAGGAGACGGTCCTAGAGGTTTTCAGTGGTGGCTGTTTTTTTTTTTTAATACTTGTAGGTTTTCTTTACTTTTCAGAACTGCATATGTACAGAAGCAAATGAAACCCCAAACTAACAAACACGTTCTAGATATGTAAGGCTTACAGAGATGGGGAACCCCGAGGACAGAGGGAGTTAGATAAAAAACAAAAAGAAAAACAAAACAACTCTGAGTGGGGCTGAGCCGACATTATTTTATTTTATTTTATATTTGCTACCAAGAAGCAAAGTCAGGCCCTGGAGCTTGCCACGCAAGAGCTCATGCCGCTGAGTTACATCCCTGGCCCAGAGGCCGGGGCAGACTCAGTGCCAATGTGGTACCGACAAAGAGCCCCTCTGTTCTCTTTTCTTTCCCCAAATCCATTTTGTTTTAAGGAGAAAAAGAAAAACAAAGAAGAAGAAGAGGAAGAAGAAAAACTAAAAAGTTAAAAATGTCAACTGGGCAACAGTGGGGCATACATTGTGAATGGTCACTCCCAAATCATTCACCCAGAGTGCAAGACATCTGCTTTGCTTTTTTTTCTTTTCTCTTTCTCTCTCTTCTTTCCTTTTTTCTCTGCCTCCTTTCTCTCTTCCTCTCTCTGTCTCTCTTTCTCTCTCAGACACAATCTCACTGTGTAGTCGAGGCTAACCTTGAGCTCTCAGTGATCCCCCTTACCTCAGCCTCGCAAGTGTTGGGTGTGCAGGTGTGCCCCACACGCCTTCTGTAGTTCTGTCACGGGCTTTTTCTTCATGTGGTTCTCCAGGACTATCTCTCTCCTAACTGGGTAGCACATAGCCCCGGGTTCCTCCTCTGCAAAGCCGGAGGAGACCTGCTCTGTGAACCGATGGTTCCCCCTTTGCTGTAGTGTTTACTCTGGGAAGGGAGGGAAGGAAACCGGCCAGCTCCGGTGGCTCTGTCTTCACGTGTTGGGAATCACAAGTTACAAACTGACCTAGCGTCTCCCCGAGCCCCTCCTTACCCGGCCTTGTGGGCTGGTTTTGGAATTAGGAAATCCTGCTTCCTCTGGGTCACGGCTGAGATCCTGCCGCTTGGTGAGGCTGTCACAGTCGCAGAGCAGGCTGAGGTCTGCTGGAAACCTTCATGCTGCTAAACTTTCCCCTTCAGCCATTGCTGCTGCAGCGGTCCTGGAGGCCGCTGCCCCCTCCCACTGTCCTGGCTGATGACATAGTGGGAGCTGGAGAGTCCGGGTCTTTGTCTCCAGGGAGCGCTGCTGGTCCCAGGTCCTGCTTCTTTGCAGTTCTTGTGTCTCGCTCTTTCTTTCCCACAGTGCACCAGAACTCGGGGCAGGAGGGCTGCAGGGCTCCCTGCCAACTCCGTGGAAAGGCTCCTCGATATGCACGTGTGGTTTTTGCTGTCACGCTGGCTTCTGGGCCACACCGAGGTCCCTTTTACACTTCTGATCTGAGTGCCGTCAACGCGCTGGTTTTTTCTTTACAAATAGCAAAATCTGATTCAGAACGAAGCTCCACAAATGTTTATTGTGAAAATACTGTGGTTTCTCAGAACTCAAGGGAAGATCTGACTCATGAGGGAAAAGGGAAAGCAGTTCTGGGGACCCCGGGGGTTGGCCCATTTGATCCCTGGAGTGTGGCTGTGAACACTGCTTTGCAGGGTTCCTTTCACTCGCCGTGTCTGCCGCTTCACGGAGCTTCAGGCTCTTGGGGTGCAGTCTGCTTGGACGCCTTGGTCACTGGCCTCCCTAGAGCTGGTTTTCTATGGCTGGGGCCCAGGGTAACAGTGCCAGCCCCACTGAGCTGCAGAAAGGCTCCCTGCCACCACTGTGCTGGGCCTTTAAAGGGCCGCTGTGTAGCAGTCACAGATGCTTTGAAGGGACTGAGCCTTGCACCCAGCAGGAAACTACTGACTTATTACGGAAATAAACCCACGGAGGCTATTTCTGAAATCTTTAATGGTGGTCCTGAGAGCAGCGGTGCCCGTGGACACGCAGTGATGCTGGTCTTCTTCCTCTGTCCTGCTAGGCTTAGATCTAGGGCTCAATGATTGGGTGGATAGGGAGAATCGTGATGGCGTCTCAGTGATGAACAGGTGGTGGCAGTGTGTGATGGGGAAAGGTGCCACGGGTGGTACGGTTACCGAGGAGAGAGCAGCTTGTGAGGGTGCTGCAGGCTGCCACCCCATCACTTCACTGTGTCTGATGCCTGCGGTGACACATGCATTTCTTTCTCTTTTTTTTGGTACTGGGATTCAAGGGACCTTGTGCTTTCCAGGCACCGTGTGCTGAGCTATCTCCCTGGCCAACATGCACATTTTAAATTCCTTTTTATGTTTTAAATTTTCCCTTGAGCTGCTTTTTTTTTTTGAGACAAGATCGCCTTACCTTGCTCAGGCTGGCCTTGAACTCACTGTGTAGCCCAGGGTGGCATCCTACTTACAGTGATCCTCTGCCTCAGCCTCCTAAGAGTTGGCATCACAGATGTCATGGTTTATATGTGTGGCCCCTGGCCTCATACATTTGCATTGTGCATTTGTGATTGGTTCATTGTCTAATGATTGGATTGATAGTGTCAGTGCCACATAGGGGTGGAGCCAGGATGTGATGTAATGGCAGGAAGAAGGTGTGTCTCTCTTTCTGGTTTCCATCTTGCTGTTTGCAGCTGCCATGCGGTTGTTGCCCTGCCATGCCACCCTGCCTTGGAGCCAACTGAGTGTGGACTGAAACCTCCAAAAAACTGTAAGAAATAAACCTCTCCTTTCCCAACTTTGGTCATCAGGTATTTTGTCTCAGCAACCAGTAAAAAATAACTAAGACAACAGGTCTGAACTACAATGCCTGGCTCCTGATCTGTTTTTTTTTTAAATTTTATTTAAGGAGAAAAAAAAGCAGAGAAAGGGTACAAGTTATACAGATTTACAGAAAAAAATGAACAGTAGGAAATCACTAGTTAATGGATTACATATTGTCATCTTAGAAATAATTGTTCAAGTCACAAAATAAAAGCTTGTAAAGTGGACATTCCAACAGTGAGACTGCAAACAGTTCTGTTCAATGATCCAATGAAACTCAGTGATATCATTTTCTATCTTATACACTTAAACATACATGCAGTTATATCATTTAGAGCACTTTCTTTTCCTCTCTTTTGTACAATGACAATTACACATTTTGGGTTTTGTTACTCCCACAGTTCTTATTACTTTTTTGGAAGGGAGTAGAACCAAATGTGACATAACAGAACAGAGTCAATCAAATCAAAAGGGTGGACATAATAGATAATGTAAAAGCATAATACAAGGTGATCAATAATGGTGACCATAATGCCTCCCGCTATCTCTAATAGAATTGCTTATATCATCAGTTATAATAAAATTGAACAAAACAGTAAAGAACAAAACCGACAAAACCAAAACATTGGAGACATTGTAGGTCTTCAAAAGTAGATAAAAGTCATCAGAATGGGCGTCATAATGAATCCCACTATCTTCACAGCTGTTGCCTAAACTTTCGAACCTGGTACTATGAACCAAAGCAGAATAGGGGGACATCAGTCAAAAACAAGATGGTGAGAGTAATACAGGGCTTTAAATCAAGATAATGGAAAGTCAAAGTGGGTTACTATAATATATCCTGCTATTTTTATTTATTTTTCCCTTAATTAAAAGGATAAAAATAAAAAAGTAAATAATGGAGTGGAGATTGAGATAAAAGAGGGCATAACAGCAAAACAGCGCAGATCAAAGCATAACCATTTAAGCAGAATAGTGTTCACCACAAGATAATCCTGACATAAAAGTAGTTACCATATTGTCTCTTTCCTTGAAATCCTTGAGTACAACTTCGTATATTGTAGCATTAAATATATCAAAACAATGTAAAACCATTTAAGAGAATGACAGCATTACAGGGTATTTAGAATCAACTAACAGAAAATGAACAATGGTTTCTGTATAATCTTCTTGTCTTTAAAAGTTTTTGCTTATACTATCGTACATAATAAAATCCAGTAAGATACAACCTGTTTAGACCAATGGAGACAAAAGAACAAAAGCTTGATAAGACTTCAAAACAAGATGATACTAAATCAGTATTACCTATTAAGACATCATTTTCTCCAAAATAGCTGTTCCTATCGTCCAATCTTCTCTGCCTCATTTCTGTTGAGCTCTTTTTCTGTCATTAGTTGTCAGTTTGTCTTCTTCATTTTGTTCTCTGTTCCATTCATTGTGGCCTCCCCGCCACTATTTCTGGATTCTTTGTATTTTTCTTTTTTTTAGAATATCCTGCAATACTCTCTGTAGAGTTGAATTGGTGGTTGCAAATTCCCCCAGTTGCTCTTTATCCTGGAAGCACCTTGTTTTTCCATCAATTTCCAGGGACAGTTGTGCAGGATATCTCAATCTTGGCTGGAGATTATTATCTTTCAAAGCTTGAATTATTTTCCCCCATGCTCTTCATGATTTGATGGTTTGTGCCAAGAAATCTGCTGTAATTCTGATGGGTGTTCCCTTGTAAGTGGTCTGTTTCTTGTCTCTGACAGCTTTTAATATTCTGTTCTTGTATTGAATTTCTGGAATTTTTATTATTATATGCCTGGGTGTTGCTCTGTTTGGATTGTAGGTGGCTGGGGTCCTGTATGCCTCATACATCTGAGTATCTTTACCTTTTGCTAAATTAGGAAAATTATCCTGGATTATTTCTGTGAGTAGCTTTTGTAGTTCATTGGTTTGTGTCCCTACTTCTTCTTTTATGTTCTTAATCCTTAAGTTATGGATCCTCTTATCATCTTCTTGTCTTTGAATTATTGCTGTTTGTTTCTTTGTTATTTTTAAGAAGTTTTTCATTTCATTCTCCCATATTACAAGTCTGCCCTCCAGTTCAGATAGTCTGTCCTTAGTTTCTTTCAAGCTGTTATGCCAGTCTTCTATAGACTTCTTAGTATATTGGTAGTCCCTTTGAACCTGCTTCACGTATTCTATGCTTTCTTTGTTTTCGCCATCAAACAATTCTCCCCTTTTTTTCTGTTCTTCCATTCCACCATCTGTTTTTTCTTGGGTGGTGCTTAGCATTTCTCTAACTATTTTGCTTACTTCTAGCTTCAGGTCATTGATAACTTCATTCCTGAACTGATCTATGAGGCTCTCTAGATGGCGCTTTATGTCTATTGGTGCGGTGTCCGCTATTACCTGTTTCTCAGGATTGGGGGCCGAGGAGCCTTTCTTGTTGCTGCCTCTTCCCATATTCTTTGTTCCTTATGTATGCAAGCGTATATAGGAGGCCCAGCTTCCCTCCCTGTCAGCCACAGCCTGATCGAATTGCGCCGGCTTGGTGTTCCCGCCCACCGCAGCACACCAGGAAATTCCAGACCAGGCAGCCTACTCGGGGCCGCCTCTCCAGGCCACCCTCAGGCTCTGGGATCTGGGTTGTGCCAGCCTACTGGGTCTCCGCCAGCAGCGTCATGTAGGCTAGGCACTTCTCACCAATCCCGCTTGAGAGGGGGATACGTGGCTGAAGTTGCTGCAGCGCCCCGCTCCTGCAAGTCTGCCCAGTCCCAGAAAGTCCTCTGCTGGAGTCAAACTGTGGTAGAGTGTCAGTTTGTCTCACTCACCTCACCACAAGTCAGTGCACGGCTCCCAGCCCATCCTGCAGAGCTTCTGCACATCTCTCTCCCTGCCGAGCCGATGTAGATGCAGCCGCCGTGCGGCGGGAAACCCAAATCGCGGCTTCCAATGGCGCAGGCTCCAGCCTCCACCCTGAGGCCCCTCGGTTCCTGTTCTAGCACCAGGACTGCATTCCAAGTTGGTTTCTCTCAGCCC